GTTGCACTCTCACGAGCTACATCGTACAAAAATTTTGAAGTCCAAATTCTTCCCAAAGGCAACCGTACAAAAAACATCGTGCTCAAAGAGGTGCTTCGATCTTTTATAAATCCCAAAAGCCTCATAGTCATTAGAAAATTATCAAAAAATAAAAATAAAAAAAAATTTAAACAGTAACACAAAAAAAAGACAAATTAATAATGCGAGCTTTTTATAACATTTTTCGGTAGAGTGGCAGTCTCCACCCTGTAACGCAGAGAGGCAGTTAAATTCCTTGATCTTCTGCCGCAGAATCATCATCATTATTATAAATAGATTCAACTAATCGCTCCGATTCCAAATAAGCTACTGCACCACCATTGCTAGCTGTGGAGGGCGCCCGGAGCAGCTAGTTTTGTATAAATTTCAAGCCAGAAGACAGCTTGTTTCTCTTAGAAAAAATAAAAAAAAAAATGTTATTCATTAGAGTGGAGATTTTAAAACACCACAAAGAAAGTAAAGCTGGATTGCTGTTTTTATTGATTTGACGAGTCCTTTATTTTTAAAGATTTTTACATTTTTCATATCTATGTGAGTTGATGTGTTTTATACCCACTGGATTGCCTGACAAATAAGGCCATGCCCTAGTTGTTAGAAGAGGAAGTGGCAAAGGAGGTACATGATTTCTCACTTAGTTCATCGATTTGAAAGTAATGGTCTGTAAAGTCAATTCTCATTTGTTTTCATTTTGAATGTATTTCTATTATTTTTCCTCAGATAAGCGATACTCCGGAAAACAACTATGTGCTCACATGGGACAGTCTCTATTTTGCATCACCACCCTCAGACTCAAGCTCAAATGTTATTCCAACTCACCAAGCTGAGGCATCCCGTGCCATTGTTGGGGATAACACGATTGCAGAAAATTATGCCTTCGTTGGCGTACACCATATTTTTGACCAGGTAGTATCATGTTTCAAAGTTTGCTAGAGCTTGTTCATCCTACACTATGACGTAAAATTAATCTCTGATTAGCCTCAAATCAGTAATAGGTTAGTACGTGCATCTAGATGGCACTATTGATGAGAGTTGTAAACAAGATATGACATTTTTCTCAATGTAGGATACTCTACCACACATCTTGGTACGATGATAAGATCTAAAAATAATGTAATAGAATTATTAGCAGGAAGAAAGATCATAGCTACGAAGAACAGTGGCGTGGCGTGAATTGCGATATATCGATTGTTATGCCATTTAAACCTATGAACAAAGATTGATTATTAGGGTGTTCGCAGCGAACACCTTAGTAATCGATTCTTTACCATAGCTTCAAATGGCGAGATATCGATAATCGATTATTCACGCCACGCCATTGACGAAGAACTCAGAACTGCATCTTAGGTGGCACTGTTCAAAAGATTATTTTTGGGATATTTTTTTATAAAAAACTTGGAAAAATGTTGAGTCAAACTACAGTCATGACAACTTTGATTTAGGAATTCCAAAAATGTATTTTTGAAAAAAATTCCTGTATAGTTTTTACATTATCTGCCATGTGCGAGGCTCAAAATTATTTAAGGGAACTATTTGCCCTTCATTTGAAAATTAATGAAGTGAACTGTTTGGAACTAATTATTTGTGATATCGGAAGGTATTCGCAACAGAAAAATTAAATACTGATTTCCCAACTCAGCTTGATTAGTTTCCTTAAAAAATTTTCTGCTGTGCACCAAGATCCTTTTTACAATGATTGGTCACAAATATCCTAATTGGTAGCCAATAGAAGGATAGCTCCACTGTATAGGGCAGCACCTTCAAAGCCGTATCTTATATTGCGAGTTCTGTCATTTCAACTTATTACAGCAGAGGTATTTCAACTCCACAAGCCTCCCTTTCTTATCAGTTATCTACTTACAGGAAAAATTTCACCCTATCAGTGTTATTTCACGAATATTTATTGCAAGATTGTGAAAGGCTCTCTGCTGTGAATTAAGAGTAAAACCGATGCAATATGGCGTTTAAGATAATTCAAAGCACCTTTTAAAAATTACACATAAGGTGAAATTAACGGAAAGACTTCTCTAACATATGATCTTTTTTTTCTGTTTAAAGCATCGAGCTGCAGTGACGATGCTTGCTTTTGCCCACAACGATAGATCAAAACTGGCTTGTGCATCGTATGATGGAACGGTCTCAATTTGCAATGTAACCGCTTCTCCCCCGATCGTTGAAAATATTTTCAAAGAACATAAGTCTGCTGTTACTGGTAATTTGCCTTTTAAATTGTCTCTAACTTGCATTTTTCAAAAAGGAGTTACAATTTCTGGCTTATTTTAGGTACAAAATTATTAGTTTCTTTATGAAGCTGAATGATTTTGTGAATGAGCTAGAAATAGTATTTGTTGTTTGACTAAAAATTTAAATGTTAGCCCCAGAATGACACCATTGAAACAGTAATGTTAAAAAGGGTTAATTTACAAACAAGTAGTATTATCATAACTAAATATAAAGTCGCACGCTTTTCGAAGACTCATTAATTCCTCTACCCTAATTTAAACGGACTTCGCGGCTTGCTGAAGAAAAATAGCAAAAGACCATTGACACGTATGTCCATTAATAATTAAGGTATAGGAATCAATGAGTTTCCAAAAAGCGTTCGACATTACATTTTTTTTTGTTAATTGAAAGGGTATTTTTTTATTATCTCGATGAGTTGAATGTCCCTAAGTGTCAAACTGAGTAGCAGTTACGATGGTGTTAAATTCATGCATGAAAAACCACAGTTTGGAGTAGTAGATACATAATTGAAGTTTCTATATGCAGTGTTTAGGGCTCAAAATATATACATATATATTACAATTTTAAATAGTATGAATTTTAAGGTTTTGAGTAATATATCTACAATTTTGTGTCTCCGTTAAGCACAGGAATAAACTTCACTGCCTGGAACTTTTTTTTGAGTGCTAGTGAGTAGTTACAGGTCAGGACTCAAATTCCCATTTTCGGATCCATGTAGGCAAAATATGGTTTTCTTAAAAATTAGCCTCCATGTTTTCAGGTTCGTTTTTCTTCTGACATCGCATAAACATTTTTCTTTCCAGTGTTGAAGTTAGGTGTTAATTTATGTCGTTAGTCAATAGTTTCTCACTCCCCAAAGCTCCAAAATACTTTTTCCTCACCTAAACTCATATTCTTTGTTCTCTCTACATACTTTTTATCTAATTGTTCTGACTTTGGTACAGGTTTCGATTGGTCGGAATCGAATGATCTCTTGGTGAGCTGCTCCGTGGATGCAACATTAGTCCTGTACGATGTGTCTCATAAAATCTCTTTAAGGACCATTCCTGAGCCTTCAAACCATAGCATTTTGTCATGCCTTTTCCATCCTATGAATAATAATTTAGTAGTGGTATCCTTTTATTCGAGCACAATCACCACCAGGTTGAATTATAGTATTTTTATCGTCATGTTTGTTGGAGGTGAATCTTCAGTAAACAGTCTAGTCGAAGAGATATCTTTGTTATAGAAGCTTTTTGTCTTGTTTTGATTCTTATCATCATGTTCAAAGAGTCTGGAAATAGGCTATGGGCAGTCTGTGATTTACTGAAAAAATTCTTCGAAGTTTTACGGAAAGTTTTAACCTGAGGATTGTAGGGAGAACTTACATTAGATAAATTGGCAGTTGTTTATTTTTGACTACCATGTCCAGTAAATAATTTCAGCAATACCCCCTAGAGGATGGTATTGGTTTTTTGGTATCTATGCACAATAGCAGCCCAGCATCATTGTTGCACTTGGTCAAACCTTGAGTGCCACTGGACGACTGTGCCAGCATTGCAAATATCTTTTAGACACTTTGATCATTTTAATAAAGACCATTATCAATTTCAAGCCTGTACTTTTCGACACCCAAAGCTTATTTCTAATTCTTCACATCCAAAGAATGAGTATGATTCTAAGGTTTTTAAGTGTGGAAACTGAACTAACTGCCATACTTTGAAAATAATAACTTACCTTGGAGTTAGATTTCAGCAGTGCAGTGCGTTAGTACTCTGGAACTATTTTAAAGAAACATTGTAAAAATAATCCCCCTTCCTGCCCATGAAAAGAAACCCCCAAAACCTGTATTTTTTGGTTTTAAAATAAACCCCCCTTTTCTTGAAAATTATCTGTTACACTTTTGAGAGGATAAAAGAGGAAAGACTTATTAAGTAACAAACTTACTCTTGTTTTCACAATTAAGTTATTGTTAAATATTTGGTAACATCTAGCTTTTCCTCTTCATGAAGTATGAGCCTTAATCCATCTTCTTCAGATTGGAAATAATAGTGGCCTAGTGTCTGTTGCAAATGTTTCAACAGGAATTTATGTTCGCGGCGCGGCAACCAAAGTTGAGGGTAGAATTCTTTGCCTCACATTTGATGCAAGTGGCCGATTGTTATGGGCTGGAAATGACAAGGTATGAATGTTTTTTTACACCTCTCTAAACCAAGAGCGCATGAAGCTAGGTTTTTCTAGACGGGTCGTTTGACCTAGCTGTAAGCATGAGTCAATATTTGGTCAATATGCGCATTTGCATATTGCTCTATAGAACCCAGGAAACTAGATTTCAGCCACGAAAATTTTCACCTCAATCGCTTCTCTTTAAGTGTTTTTTGATCCGTTATGTTTCTCTTGTTTTCAGGGTGTGATCACATCTCTAATCTGTGATAGGACAGGCAGGATAAACAAAGGCAAAAGAATAGTGGTTGCTGAAAACTGCCCGATAACATGTTTAAGCTGGAGAGCATGGATCAGCCGAGAAGCAAGAGACCCAACGCTCCTCGTCAATTGTGCTGCAAATGTAGTTTGTCTTTTTAGGTAAGTTTCATTTTGGTATTAGTTTTTGTATTATTCTTAAATCAGCTTGTATTAAATATTTGACGTTTATTGCTTTGTTTCAAAGTTGCCTTACTATATTATATTCTAGCCCTGCAGTAAGGACAACCTAAGTTGATCGTATTCTCAATAACTTTTCAAGAATGCTTATGGAGCTTTCAAGTGGATTGGTGTTCCTGACATTTCATTTGTAGACAATATATTTGCCACCAGTCTTAGCCAAAGCATGGAAGTAACAAATAAATTTCAGCAAAAAACAGATTTCCAAGCTTGATTAAGCTCAAAAACAGCTTTTTTGACTGGACATTAAGACTGAAAGTGAAGCCTTAAAAGACTTGTAGTCTGAATGCTTAATATGAAAAAGGAATTTTCGATAGTCTTCTTTAGTTTTTTCTATGTAAGAACTCCACTTCAGATTTTCCCTGCTAAGAAGTTTGTCTCCTCAATCTTTAAATTATTCAGCAATTTTTAACAAAATTATTTATTTTTTCAGAGTAAGCAGTCAAGATGGCATGCTAAAACTGAGGAAGAAATTCTCCACTCGTCACAAAAATCCATCTTGTATGGTCCGATCTACTTTTTGTCCAATCATGTCTTTCAGACAAGGTGCATGCGTAGGTAAGATTAACTTTTCTTGATAAAATTGACCGGCACTGTCATTTTTCCCATATTTTTTGCCGAGTTGAAGAGGAATTATCTTCCAAAATTCATTCACCTCCAAAATAAACAATCGAGGAGGTGTCTGGAAGAAGAGCCCTTGAAAGACTAGTTGTACTCGGTTCTCAGACTAGTGGCTATCTGGACAAACGGCAGCGTAGCTGAGAACATTGCTATCTGCCAATAATAATAATAATATGTTTGATAATTTCTGATTATGTTTCATTTTTTAAAAGAAAACCACCCAAAATCATGCCTTGCAATTTTCTTTAAATATTTCTGGAGATGAATGAAAAAAGTTTTCAAGAAATTTCAAGGAAAATCGTTCTATCGTCTTTAAACATCGCGATTAGAGGTACGCATTTTTTTTCCTCAGCCATCAACATGCTTCTGATAAATATTACCTTTTATTCGTTTTTCTTTTCCAGTAACAGGGAGTGAAGACTCTTGTGTCTACTTTCTGGATATAGAGAGAGAAAGCAAGCCAGTGGTAAATAAGCTGCAAGGACATGCATGCCCGGTTCTCGGAGTGAGTTTCAACTATGACGAATCTCTGTTAGCTACATCGGATCAGCAAGGATTGGTGATAATCTGGTCACGAGAAAAACCTAGTTCAAAAGCAATAGATGCAAGTTAGAGAACTATCCTTCATTTTTGAAAACTTCCAATGACTCTCAGTATTAAGTTTGATGAGTTAATTTTTTATTTTTCCAATTCCAATTCCCCATTTTTGTTGTGTCCATGATTATGGATGGAGCGCTTATGTGTAACTATTAGGGCAGTCAATTTACATTTTCCTAGGAAATGAGGTCTGAACCCTTTAATTAACTGATGAGGGGTTTTTTTTTGTTGTGTGTGAGTCAAGTGATGACGTCCAACTGACGGTTTTTAGTCATTTAATTTTGGAGCTATGTGATTGGTCAAAATGCAACATACTTTTGGACCACTTAAGATTCAGGATTTTATTACTGGCACTTGAGATATGAGAAACTGATCTGTTACTAACGAGAAATTTATCTATCTATGATACCATCCAGAATCAGTTTTTAGAAAGATCTTTCAACACGTTCCTCTCTACCTCCTTCCACTTCTGCATATATATTTTTCATCAACCCATTTCAAGTATGTCTGTTATGTCCACATACATATCAATTTGATAAATCTGTCGTTTCAATTTAGCTTTTTTCAATTTCATTGAGTGTGGAACTATCTTTACGCCCCCACGTCTATAGTTTTAATGGAACTTTAACTGTCTCACCAGTAGTTTTTCTTTTGAACCAGACACAGAGTATTTTAAGGAGCAATGTTATGAAACTCACTCGCATTTTGATCCTTTTTTTGTATTTTTGAAGTGCAACTTCCAATTACCTAAAAGCTTCCTTGTCAACAAATCTGTAGTTTAATATGACTCCATTTTATGATAAATATTGATAGTTAAAGTTGAAAAATGAGTCTTATAAATTGCGATGTTGTAAGTTTCTGCTCATGTTTTTATCTTTTTTTTCCCACAAATTTTATTGAAATTTATGAAAAAGAAATAGCAAATGAAAAACGTTTCTGAATGTTTCTGGGGGGAAAAAGGGAATTCGATTTTTTTATACATGTCGTCCGTGAGTATTAGTTTGTTGGTCCTGGTACTGGCAATGCTTTCAACCTTTTTCGATGGAAACACTGGGTATAGGGTGCTGGCAGCTCTGGGTTGTCAAATTCCAAAATCTCAACTTATATTTCACTAGCTGTTAGAAGAACGAACGCATGTATTCTGTTGAAACTTTCACTAAATATTCCTAATGATTTTACAAAATTCAAAAGAAAGTTTACCAGTAACATTTTGCGATTTTTGCATCTCTTTTTAAATTAGGGAGATTCTAAAATCCTGCGCTCAACCCTTCACTTATAACGATGGTCCAAGTGCGAAAAGACGTATCTCCATTGCAGTGTTTCAAAATTTCCGCTACTATTTTATTTTTTTTTCAAAAAGAGAAAAGCCAATTTTATAGTTTGAAATTTATACAGCACATTCTTTAAATAGAGATGAAACAGCAAGGAATTTTAAATAAATTGAATTCACTAGTTTTCTAAAGAGAAATTAAAATATGACAGGAAGCCTGCAACGTCGCATACGGAGATACATGGTCTCACACTTTAGCCATTGATACTTAACTTTACGTGCCTCACCACAGAAGTCAACAATCGTTTATTTTAACTTCACCTCACGGGAACCAACAGCTTCTTCATTGTTTATAAGATAAAACATGTTTTATCAAATCTCAGTTGTTGTTTTTTTAATTTTTGTCAATTTTTTTATGTCAACTATATTTTTCATTGTTGATTCTTTTATTGTACCTCTCAATTTTATAAATATATTTTATATAAATTTTAACAACTGTAGAATGTTTGAATGTCTTTGTCCATTGAACCCCTATTTTCTCATTTTAATGCTGCATTTGGGTTTTTCATCNTGGAACGCTTATGTGTAATTATTAGGGCAGTCAATTTACATTTTCATAGGAAATGAGGTCTGAACCCGTTAATAAACTGGTGAGAGTTTTTGTTTGTTTCGTGTGAGTCCAGTGATGACGTCTAACTGACGGTTTTTAGTCACTTAATTTTGGAGCTCTCTGATTGGTCAAAATGCAACATACTTTTGGACCACTTAACATTTAGGACTTTATTACTGGCACTTGAGTTATGGGAAACTGATCTGTTACTAACGAGAAATTGATTTATCTATGATACCATCCAGAATCAGTTTTTAGAAAGATCTTTCAATGCGTTCCTCTCTACCTCCTTCCACTTCTGCCTATAGATTTTTCATCAATCCATTTCAAGTATGTCTATTTTGTCCACATACATATCAATTTGATAAATCTGTCTTTTCAATTTAGCGTTTTTCAATTTCATTGAGTGTGGAACCATCTCTACGCCCCCACGTCTATAGTTTTAATGGAACTTTAACTGTCTCACCAGTAGTTTTTCTTTTTAACCAGACACAGAGTATTTTAAGGAGCAATGTTATGAAACTCACTGGCATTTTGATCATTTTTTTTTGTATTTTTGAAGTGCAACTTCCAATTAGCTAAAAGCTTCCATGTCAACAAATCTGTAGTTTAATATGACTTCATTTTACGTTAAATATTGATAGTTAAAGTTGAAAAATGAGTCTTATAAATTGCAATGTTGTAAGTTTCTGCTCATGTTTTTATCTTTTTTTCCCCACAAATTTTATTGAAATTTGTGAAAAAGAAATAGCAACTGAAAAGCGTTTCTGAATGTTTCTGGGGGGAAAAAGGGAATTCGATTTTTTTATACATGTCGTCCGTGAGTATTAGTTTGTTGGTTCTGGTACTGGCAATGCTTTCAACCTTTTTCAATGGAAACACTGGGTATAGGGTGCTGGCAGCTCTGGGTTGTCATGTTCCAAAATCTCAACTTACATTTCACTAGCTGTTAGAAGAACGAACGCATGTATTCTGTTGAAACTTTCACTTAATATTCCTAATGATTTTACAAAATCCGAAAGAAAATTTACTAGTAACATTTTGCAATTTTTGCATCTCTTTTTAAATTAGGGAGATTCTAAAATCCTGTACTCAACCCTTCACTTATAACGATGGTCGAAGTGCGAAAAGACATATCTCCATTGCAGTGTTTCAAAATTTCTGCTACTATTTTATTTTTTTTCAAAAAGAGACAAGCCAATTTTATAGTTTGAAATTTATACAGCATATTCTTGAGATGAAACAGCAAGGAAATTTTCAAGACATTAAATTCACTAGTTTTCTAAAGAGAAATTAAAATATGACAGGAAGCCTGCAACGTCGCATACGGAGATATATGGTCTCACACTTTAGCCATCGATACTTAAATTTACGTGCCTCACCACAGAAGTCAGCAATCGTTTATTTTAACTTCACCTCACTTGAACCAACAGCTTCTTCATTGTTTATAAGATAAAACATGTTTTATCAAATCTCAGTTGTTGTTTTTTAATTTTTGTCAATTTTTTATGTCAACTATATTTTTCATTGTTGATTCTTTCATTGTACCTCTCAATTTTATAAAATATATTTTATATAAATTTTAACGACTGTAGAATGTTTGAATGTCTCTGTCCATTGAACCCCTATTTTTTCATTTTAATGCTGCATTTGGGTTTTTCATTAGTGGAACTTTCCATGAGATTTCCATTGTCAAAATTTTACCACTGAACTCTTGATACCTACTAGATATTGATAGCAAAAGTGCAAAATAACATATCTCCATTTGCAACATTGCAGATTTCCTGTCACACTTCATTTTTACTTTCAGAAACTGGTAACACAATTTCTTAAAAACTTCCTTGATTTTTCTTACATATGTTGGAAGAATATTCCGTATGAATTTTAAACTACAAAGTTAGCTTGTTTCTCTCTGTAAAAATAAAATAGGAGCAGAAATTTTGAAGCAATGGAAAATCTGCATGCAAATTTTTCATTGCTTCATCTGAAAGTGCTTAAAGAGCTGATTTCACAGTATTTTTCATAATTTTTTTCTGATATGGGAAATAGTATAAAAATAGATTTAAAAGTGAGAAAATGCACCGCCTGGTGATGTCATCATGCGGCATTTCCCATTTAAGCACATGAATTTTAGCAGATATTAGATAATTTTGTCGAATTTTCTTCATTAATTGTTCAATGCATGAACCAAAAGGGTATCCTCGTGTTCAGTTCACTCAGCAGTTTCCACTTAAACACGAATTTTGTCAAGTTTTAGAATCCTGCAAATTCTCTATTCAATAGAGACATGTGGTTTTGAACTCTGGGTATGATATTTACATCTATTTTTCATTAGGATATACAGTTCATTTTTCAATTGAAAATCCCATCAACTTAATTTTTTGAAAATATGTTTCCAGTATTTTCCTTTCAGTGTGAAGATTACCCTGGAAAAAATTTCAATCAGTTAGGACGGTCCGTTTCCCTTCAAAGAAAGTAGAAGGAGAAATTTTGAAACCCACGAAACAAAATGCCCACCGAATTAGGGCATCCACGGAGAGTTTTCATTNNNGGGTTGCACTCTGTTTCCCGGGCAGCCTCGATTCTGATGAAGAGGGCATGAGCACAATGAAAGCGAAATTATGGACTGGAAGTTAGAGCATTCAGTCATCAAGCAGGGAAAGAATGATCTCAAAATACATGCCGACCTTTATTACTTGCATTGTTCACTGGTGACATTCACACACACCTACACGGTGCGGTGTTTAATTCGTGGAAGGGCCGAAGCGCGAAGGGGCTAGGGGAACCTAGAGTCCCTTTAATTATACTGAGAGTCAAGACAATTCGGCTCATGGATGTCACAAACGGGAATAAAGATTACAGAAATTGAACGTTTTTCGTAATCTTTGATCGGCCCATTCTCAAATGCCTTTCTNGCATGAGCACAATGAAAGCGAAATTATGGACTGGAAGTTAGAGCATTCAGTCATCAAGCAGGGAAAGAATGATCTCAAAATACATGCCGACCTTTATTACTTGCATTGTTCGCTGGTGACATTCACACACACCTACACGGTGCTGTGTTTAATTCGTGGAAGGGCCGAAGGGGCTAGGGGAACCCGCTCCTAGCTTTCGTGCAAATATGCGCGTACTGTACTTCGCAAGCCTTGAAGTTTCATCATCGCCTGGACCTATGCATGCATTATAATGCCTCATGATGAAAGTTCATGCACCGGTGTCAAATTGTTGCTAACTAACAAGACCTTTCTCAGATTTACTGCAGTTAGGAAGCTAATTTGGCAACGTCAAAATGCAAGCATGCACTTTCGAACAGGATTGCTGCAGCGCGCGCAACTGGATTGACGAGTTCAATGCCAAGTTCAAACTTTACGGTAACCTGCCTCCAGATCAACTCTAAGATATTTATCAAAATATAGTTTACGCTTAATTACAGCTCTCTTATCGCGAAAATCCTCGTTCTGAACCAACTTTCGCTCTCAGAAGATGAGAGCGCGATTTCAAAATTTGTGTTTATCCTCCGTGGCCACCCTGTTCGCGGAAGTTCGGAAATCGCATCGGTTTCCGGAATCAGTCGGGAATAGACAGGAATATTTTATGGGATGAAACGGGATTTGATAATCTTTCGTGATTTGTGCAAGAATGGCGTTATTTGTGCAGTGTAAATACGTGCTAATTTACAAGTGTAATTATCTCTTCGGCGGTTGATCATTCCAATGCGAGATCGATGGCGTCCGAAAGGTACGCGCTCAGTTTTAGTCCTCTAAAATGTATGTGTGTATACTAGGGTCGAAAACTAGCCCCTCTGCTGGACAAGGCCTTGCCCATTTTGTTGGCATCTCCAATTGATAATTTTCTAAGCTTTCCAATTAACCTCCTCAACTGTTAACTGTAGCCTCAGCAGCTGCCTCTTTCACTTCTGCTCCTGAAAATCACCAAAAATTCTAGCATGTTCAGGAGTTACTAGCTTGTCTCAATTGAGTTTATAGTAATGTTTACTTGTCTACCGTCCATAGACCTAGCTTTCTCCTCTCTTCTGTTTATGTCCTATGCCTCCTATTAAAAGCCTCTAGACTCTGTCTCGAGAGGAATCTCTCCTTTCAACTTTACATCAGGAGGAGAATTGACTTAACAAGTTTGAAGGGATCTCAAACTTTTGTCGCCTTCGCGTTCAGCCTTTTCTAACCTCAAACTTTGGCTGTCAAATGTTGAAAATTCAAAAGCAGAATTTCCCAAGCCCTGTTGCACATTTTGTGAAAGTTCTCGATTATAGCTGAGCATTTGCTCCGTTAGCACTTGTAATCCCTAGTGCTTCCATGTTTACCGTCAGGAGCTAAGAAGCTGCATGGCAACTAACATTGTCTGGATCGCAAGTCTCTGGGAACCTCACAAGTAGCTCTAAGTCAATCGGAATCAAACTAGAGTCCCCAATCGTAAAAGTGTTCCTAGAAGGTTTGTCCGAAGGAAAATTGTTGCATCTCAATGTAAGACTTACTTCTTCCTGTGATGCTTTACTGTACAAGCACTGATCTTGTGTATTTTCTCCTTACTGCACTGATACACAGTGATAAGAGTAAGGAATGACACTTACTAAGTAAACTTTCCTCAACAAAGCTTAGAACTTTTGTACGAGATGAATTTATGCCCAGATTTACAGGGCAAGTTATGTAGGTAGTTGACAAGGGGTGGCTAATTTTGCTGGGCGGGGGGGAGTGCTCTTAGAATTTTTAATTTTTGTTCTGTAAGTAAGATTTTTGTACTCAGGAAAGAGTTGACAAAAATTAGGATAAACTTCCTCATATGGGACATATTTTTCTGATGGAGGCTGCCTCTGAACTCCCCTTGATACTAAACTTTTCCTGCGGGACCTTCAGGAACCATCACAAGGGTGGCAGTAAATTCATAGCTATGTTGTGGAAGTAGTCTGTTCGGGACCATTTAGAAATGGAATTACCTAATTCTAAATACTTAGTCAGCGTTTTTGGGCTCTGTCAGAATAATGGCGTATAATGGCCCAACGTTTCTACCAAACGCTCTTATGATCTCAGGAGGTCGATGAAACCACTGAGTTGCGTTTGCAAACAGAAGAACGCAACGGAAATGGACGAGTTTACTTCGACATCGCACTTCAATTTGGGCATGCAGGAATCTTCAGTTGTCAATACCCTACAGAACAGTGTGGATTCAGTACTATTCTACCATCCTCAGGGTTGCCATGGTCAAAACTGGGAAATGGCAGGGAATTTTAAAAATTCATGGAAAACCTGGAAATGTCAGGACCTTTAATTGCTTTCCAGAATGGGTTTGACGTTTCGAATAACAGATTTTGCATTGAAACTATTTTAAACCGTCTCTTTTCTGTCATCTGACATATCTATAATTGTCCAGGAATTTCACCAAAATGTGTCAGGGAAAATTCAGGGAATTTCATTTTCTAAATTCTGTCGCAACCATAATCTTGCAAATTTAAGTACGTTTCTTAAAGCTGCAATTATTACAGTCCAACAAGGATCATCAACCAAGTATTTGGAAAGGTGCCTTGATGATGATGAGTTTCCCAGCCTTCTTTCTATACTAACAATGGGAAAGTGATAGGCAATTTTTTAGCCATGTGTCTAATTTTTGTGTGTTTGGATCTTTGTTCACAGAGTGGAATGGGTTGAGATTATCGAACCCAAAACAAATGAACGCATGTATGCAAATTTAACCACAGGAGAGTGTGTCTGGGATCCTCCTGTGGGTGTCAAAGTGTGAGTATATTCTTTCATTATTGGCTGAGCACAGCATTTTAAGTCAGATTAATTAATTAGTTATTTAATATTTTCAAAGAAAAACAAAAAAAAACACGAGAAGAACGGGTAACCAAGACTAAAAAACAACAAAACAGCCTCTGTGATAATCTCACCTCTTTTCGTCGCGAAATGGGGGTCCAGGTATTTTGATTTTTGTAATTTTTTATACATTTTTGTTTCCTGGTTGAGGAGGAGGTTGAAGTTGAAACTACCCCAAAACATCGCAGGCTTCATGTTTTGTTGTTTTTTAGCTTTGGTTACACATTTTTCTTGTGGTTTTTTTTTTTTTTTTAAGTTAAATTATTCAGGCTATTTTTTTGTGCTTGTGTTAATCGGTTACTTTGTATCAATTAAAAGATCCTCGGTTAATTGATCACGATATTTGGTTCAGTAGATTTGAGCAATAATTATCTAAAAAGAAAACAAAGGAAGAGTGGACTCTAAGTTTGATTATGAAGTTTGTTGGACAATTGATTCTGTATACTACTATGACTCTAATGAGAATTTATTTGGGTGTGCCGGGAATACTCAAGTGGAAACATTCATTAACTTCCTTTATCTAGATTGGTAATCCATTCCATTAAATTTCTGAACCACAGTCATGAGTTGATGAGAAAGCAAGCTCATTCAGATGTTGCAAAATTTCAACAGATATTCCTTTATTTTTATGGCAGGTGAAGGCAGTTTGAAACGTAATAAGAAGTTAATATTATAATTTTTTAATTTGTGTCGGTATGGGATAGAACAATTTTTTGTGGAAAATATTTCCTCTTGATTTTCTTAGGAGGCTGGTGAAATTAAGTTCGTTGCTGTTTAGAAAGAGGATTTCTTCATTCGGTTTGATATTCATAGTTGGACCACATTTTTGCAATTGAAAACTACTATTTTAGGTTTATCCATAAAAGCACTTGTCTGCACAGGGAATCTAATAGCACATATTATTTTGTCTCTAAAATTATTCCCTATACATAGTAAGTAGTATCTTATTGCAAAATGGAGTCTAATTTATCTGTCCCAATCAAGGTATTAGAACCTTTTGTCCACTATCTCTAACTTGGCTACATAATTGATGTCAGCCGTAATAAACACCCATGAAAATATATTTGAATATTTTAAATTTTAATTATTTAGTTATACCCTAATGCATTTTGAATGTAGAATATTTTTTTTTCTTTTTTCCTTTTTCTGAAATTGCATCTGGCATTTTGTGATCTTTTGAAATTGTCAAACCTTTTTTTTTTTCTAAATTTTTGTGTGTTTTTTTTCCAGTAAGAAGACTGATAACAACCAATGGTGGGAGTTATTTGACCAGAAAACTAGTAGGTTTTATTACTACAATGCAGCGTCCTTGAAAACTGTCTGGCATTGTCCCCAGAATTGTGATATTATTCCTTTAGCCAAATTACAGGTACTTGATCACTGTTTATCCACTTCGTGCTTTGAATTGATTGTTTTATACTTCCTTCAACAATTGAGATCCTTTCTTGCAGACATATCAAATTAAAAACAGGCATTGCTTCATTTTTGAAAGATCTTCTTCAGATACTTCTTTTGCATAGTGCAATTCTTGCTTGGTGGTGCATTATGAAAAAAAAGAATTGACTTAAAATTTTCAAAAAAAAAAACCTCTATCTACCATAGGCTGAGTAATGTCTCCTAACTGCTTCGTCCTCCATTTATACTAAGGCTTGAGTGTCACATTTTGCCAACCCAGCATCTAAACTTCTATCTTTTAAATGGATATGCTCTGCCTTAAATCTTTCAATTTGGATGGACTTTATTGTTTTATGCGTCCATATACCTTTAAAGAGGCATGGCTTTTTCAGTTTTCTTTTAAAGAATGAACAATCTGATTCAGGAACTATTTACTTTGTTTTGTTCTAGACTATCAAACAAAATACTGAGCCATCAACCGATGAATTTGAAAAGAATGCAAGTGAAAACAAAAAATGCAAAGAATCGGTCGCAACTCAAACGCCAGGAAGGTATTCAGCGGCACAATCATCAACAGCAACTAACATGCGAATTCCTCTCACTCACATTAGCCCTACAAAAACATCCAATAGCGTGAGTATAATAATCATATTTCTAATCATACTTTACACTTGGATGAATTTCACCCGATTCGCAAGATTCCATGGTACGTAGTTTTAAATTTTCAACTTCGACGGGCATTTGTCCTCGGTTGTTGACAAGTAAGTTTATCTATAGAGAGATGTAGGAAAAATTAATCTTTTTAATTCTTAATTGTAATCAGTATGAAGCATCATTAGACTTTTCATCTAAATGAGGGGCACAGTTTTTGATTCCACAAGAAAAATTTGAGAGTCAACACTTTGATAGGTTTAACTTTCTACAAAATCTTTGATTGATTAAAATAATGTAGGATGTCATGACCAGGCCTTGAGAGTGGGTTTTCTCTGCTTTGAGCCTGCTCGGCCATGAAAGTTGGGTCCAAACCTCATTAGCAAGAAAACTCGTTGATGAGGAATGGACTGTTGTCTCCTTGGCATGAACCCTCAAGAGGAGACAAGCACACACAAGATCACCTTTTACTTGTCCAGGTGGGCAGGGCGGGGAAACATTTTGCGTACTGTTTTTCCTGCAGTTTCAGTCAGATAGAGGGATTGATGTTCCGCTTGCAGGTTTTCTCATGATTGAGGCTTTCGGTCAAACCCTGAACCCATAGTCGACTTGCCTGCAAGGTTTTTCCCTGAACATAGAAGCTGAGGCTTCATACACAAAGAGGACTGTTTTTGGCCCAACCCACTCCTCTGCTCTGTTCTTCTCTGGAGCCCTGGTCATAACCTCCTCCCTTTTTTTTTGTCTCCCTTTTACTTATTCATCAATACATATGTTATCCGTCTTTTTTTTATAGGAGAAGAATGACAGTTGTGTCATTGATAGGATAGCGTCCATCCGGGAGGCAAAAAGCACAGAAACGCAAACATCTCCAATATCACCTCGGCGGTCCCACCACCACCATCACCACCATCATCATCATAGTCATAACCATAGGTACAGTAATAATATTACTTCATCTCAGACTGAACTGTCTTTAAAAAAATCCATCAGTGAAATTACGTGAGAACGAGGAGCTCTTTGCTGGAAAGTTGGATCAGCCTTGCAATGCTGCTAAAACTGTTCAAATTGGTGCATTTTTTACGTAAATACAAGACCATGTTATGTTGCTGAATTTTCATTTAAGCTTTAATGCATTTCTTCAACTCAACAAAACGAATGTACTTATTTTAGCACCACACTAATTTGGTAACCACAAAATTACCTAGTTTTAGTAGCATTGGAAGGCTTTTTACCAAAGAACTATTCTTTCTATTCACAGTATTTTCCATTTTTAATTGCTGTTAATCTTAACATGTTTCTCTTAATAGTTTGTGCAGGAACGTAAAAGTGTTTGAATGTTCTTGATTTTTTTCCAACCTTTTATTTATTTATTTTTATCTATTATTTTGTAATCGCAACTAAGTCCTAAAATTCTGAAGAATTAACGGAATATACTGAAGCCCTCTCAAAACTTCTGTCGGAAAAGATAACGGTAGGATAAACTATGAAAGCGTATAAGTTTGCAGAGTTTTCGGCAATTAACTCAAAATTTTGAGCCTGACCAAATCCACTGTAATGTGAAAAGCTTTTGTTGCTTCTGTATCATTGGTGCCCTAGCGGTTAAGAGAACCCAAACTGTCAAAACCATTTAATGGATGGCAATTCCTGATTTTGAAAAATAACTATTTTCACTTTTGAAACTCTAAAACCAGGATCAACAATGTCTCAAGCTGACCACTTGCCTACAATAGCCATTGGAATGCTATTGTTTGCCAAGGTCAGCTTACTGTCAGTCGATATCAGTATCTGATGTCGGATGCTCCTTAAGTCCGATTAAGGGCACCAAGGAAACACCTTTGCGTCAAGCTAGTAAGAACACCAAGGTCCCGAATGCACTTGACTTTTTGTTTTTCCTCAAACATAGGTAAGCCATGTTCTTTCACGTTAACGTTTTTTCTCATTTTTAGGCATGATGATCATGGAAAAGCTTGGGGCACAGATGTTGAGGACAGACCTAGGAGGGGTAGTCATCACCGTGCTGCTTATTCGCAGGTACGTGTCAGTTTTCCCAGGTATAGAGAGAAGCATATAGAGGTGAAGAGTGATGAAAAACATCTGTCTAATGCTAATATGAGCCTGTTTAATACAAAATGATGCCCTCTTATAAGTAGAAACAAGGCTAAAATGGACCGCTAGACAAGGTACGAATTTAAGCATTCCGATACAAGTTTCTTAATTAGAATTTAACGTAGAACATGGCTCTTGCATCGGAAATTACGAAATCAACCCCCAACTAAGATATTAATATTTTTATTTTACATTGGTTACAGGAATTTTGAATTGCCCGGTCGCAGAAAAGCAATTCTCTACGTGAGTCAAATCGAGCCTCACAACAGTTTTCCAAGTGTTAACAATTTGCTATAGCTGAGCCAAAGCGTCAAAGTTGAGGTTGCCAGATTTTCATATCGCAGAGATTGTCATGGTAAAGTTTAGTGTGCGATTTGACTCACGCAGACTATTGTGTTTTCATGAGTGGAAGGTTTGAATTAACGTTTCAAGAAACATTATATATCTTAGTCAGGAATTGATTTCAGTCACAGTCATTGCGCAAATCGTGTTTTAAGTGAAATTTTGATTAGGAAACATGTATCAGAATGCTTAACTTCGAACCTTGTCTAGTGGTCCATTGTAAAACAGTATGAATATTGAACTATTTATTAGGTTTTTACATTAAAAATCTTTTAACCTCCTCACCTTTGATTTTATTGGACATGTTTTGACGGGTCCGTTGCCTGTCCTCATTAGCAGTTAAGCGTTTCATAACCATTTCCCTTGAAAATGTCTATAATTTGAAGAAAGTAAATGCACTTTTCTTTCCTCTGTCATTTGTAATGTTGAAGGTTGTCTAACTCAAGTATATTTTAAAACAAGCAAAAATGTTGTGTTATTGGAAGTTAATATGGCTGTTCCTCCATGATTTGAAAAAAGATGGTTTATTCTTTGCTGACTCAAAATATGTAGTTGTCTGGTTATTTTCTTGAAAAATTGTATTTTAAGTTATAGAGTCTTTCAGTTTACTAAAATAATTGGTTCTCGTTTGCCATCATTCATCGCTGTTCAGTCACAGGCAGCCTGTTAAATATATTCATTTCCTAGGTTTGGTTTTATAATCTGTTTTCTGCTTTTGCAGCAGGATTCTGGTAGGTCCAGTGACTCAAGTTGCATATCCCTAAGTCGGACATCTTTGGATGCTAAATCTGCTATGTCAGCTAGCACATCAACACCACTGTTGAAGAAAAAACTCCTAAGTGATGCAACAATCAAGGAAAACGTTGTCTCTCGCTCAATACCACACCCCATTCAACGTAGTAGTTCATCAACATCGCAACACCAGTTACCATCGATTAAGCAAAAAAGCTTTGACATCGACATTAGTGAGTCTTCTGATTCTCTGCACAGTTCCACTACTTTGAAATCCTCTTTGTTAAGTATTGAATTAGTAACCAAAGCAGTTATTAATTGATAGGATAGTTTAGAGTACATTTTGCATTAAGGAATCACTATGTCTGGCTCATCTGTAAAAGCAACTATTTGTTTAGGGAAACTGATGGCTCATTAGTTCTTTCTAAATAAGCCAGAAATATTTTTTCCTAACTACAAAATGGTGTCCATTTGAAGAAAATAGCAAAAAAAATAAGTAAGTATCAAATTTCTGACCGGTCAATGAAAGCGCCAAAAATATTGAGTCATATTGAAGAGAACAAATAAATTTCCTAAAGATAAATAAAATTCAGAAATATGTATCCATTTCGATAATTTTATTCCCTTTAGTCTTAATTCTTTAATCTTAATTTAGTCTTTAATCTTGTGTGATCTGCACAACGTGCCAAAACGTCTTTGTGTGCCAAAACGTTTATGCGTAGACATAAAGTTTTCAAGAGAATCATTCATGTCAGGTTGATAAGAACATTAGAACTCAATTCTTCAACAGAAACCAAATTATCAGATTATTCTGAAAAATTAGTTGGAAGTTGTTTCGTTCATTACTTAATGTGTCAACAGAGAGAGTAAGTGTAATTTATTCCAATGTGTGAACATTGGAAATTAAACCTACCACAGCTTTGCCTTCCAAACTGCATTTTTGAACTGCAAACTTTGAACTGGAACTGATCGTGAGCCAATTTGGTTTTATATCCACAAGTGTTTTTGCGCTAGAATTTCCATGGAACCTTGCTCAATGGAGATGTTGCATGTGTGAGGGATTTGCGATTTGACTGTTGATTCTTATGTAAAAGTTCACAAGAAACACAATGATGCCACTGGTTTTCTCTGAAATCGTCTCCCAAGCTCAAAAAAAGTTAGTGACAGGGCTGCCACTTCATTTGGGGACTCCAAAACTGAAAACACAGCAACCCTGCTAATGTATTTGCTCCCAATCTTTGCATGGAGAGTTTGTCTTGATGTAGAGGTGGACTCTTAGGGTAGGGTGAGATATCCCCTCCATTTTGGCCTCAACTTGAGAGCTTTTTTTGAGCTTGGGAGACGATTTCAGAGAAAACCGGTGGCACCATCGTGTTTCTTGCAAACTTTTACATCAGAATCAACAGTCAAATCGCAAATCCCTCACACATGCAACATCTCCATTCAGTGGTACTAGAACTTTAATTTTGATTTTTCAGCACCAAGGAGTTTTCTGTGGCTGGTCACAATCGTTTTCTACACAAAACATTGTTGCCAATGCACACACAATAAGTAAACCCTAAACTTCAGCTTTATTTTTATTGTTTCTTCAAAGCGGTGTCCAATTATTTTGCAGGTGTTGGCGGAGGCTACAGTTTAGGTCATGAAAACAGGAGTGGTAGCTGCAGTCGTGCGAATCGACAGATTCTCCTCCCAAGCTCTGCTTCATCACACCACCTCTCGAGAAGTCACTCGTTTGCAATGGCAGCCCATCCGCTGTCGGGAGCGCAGTCGGTTGATAACGACGAGCAGGACGATTCTATGCATGAAAAGTACTTCCAGAATGCTTCAAAACTGTCTGTAGAATCTACGCCTCAGGTATTGCCGAATGTTCCTCACTACTTCAAGCCTTTATTTTTATTTTCCGAGCTAGTGTGTCCAGCTTTAGATCAACTAATTTGTAACTTTGTGCACCTGTGGACAGATATAATTTAGGAGAAAGAAACGGATTTTTGCACTTTTTTTTAGAAACAACAAATTTGACTTTAATTGATCGATATCAATGGGTGCTTTTACAAATGTTTCTGTGCATATGCTTCGTTTTTTTTTATTTCAGTCTAAAGAGCCTCCAAAATACTCGCTTGTTTATGAAAGTCCGGTACTCATGTAATTTAAAATTTTGGATTTATAAATAACCGAATTTTGGAATTTTGTTATGATAATTTGAAGAGTATGCATGCTTCATAATGCTTGATGAATCATCAGTTAGGTAGAAAAAGATGCACTCATATACGGTGTCCATCGTCTCTTTGTTGTCTGAAATAATAATTTGGACTTGAATTTTGTACCCAATGTGGGCTCACCCATCAGTAATTTAAGTGCGGTTTATTTGCAACAATATATCAAGTTTGTTTCTGGGGGGAGGAAAAAAAAAAATTACTGTGAAACTCTTTGACAATTCTTGAATAATTTATTGAAAAGTCTTGGAAAGCCCCCTAAAGTCAATGTTTTTTCGGTTGTAAGTACTTAGAAAATTAAGAACAAGTCCTCAGAAAGTTCCTGCGAATCTTTGAATATTGTTAAATTTTTTTACTTTGAACCATGGCTACCTTGCAATGCAATCCCAATAACAGCTATTATTGTCATTCTCTGTCTAGACGAGACGTAAACACCACCAAGTTGAAAGAAGCGGACCTACAGAGTATGCCAACTTCATCACCCCTCCTCCTCCCCTTCACAAAGCACCTTCAAGATCATCAAGGTCGTCTTCCAACTCCTCTACCCTAGCTCCTCTCAGCAACTCGTCTTGTTCAAGGCACCCATCACTTCCCTCTAGTCATCGGTAAGTACTCGGCCAAAGCTTTCAAAATCAGAAGTGTAAACAATGAAAATGTTTGTTTTTTAAAGTTTATCTCTAATCGGTCAAATTTTTGAATTGAATGGATGCTAGCCTTTTATATACACTTGTTTCTTCTATATTTTATCGAGACTTTTCCATTTAAACACTATGAAACCTAGTAGTTTTCTTACTGACTCAAATAAGGATCTGTTGGATCTTGAATCACCCAAATGGACCCTACCAATCAGACCTGACCAAAAGGGTCAAAAAGAGCCAAATTAAACTGATTCAATGAATATGTTATTTGATGTAATTTGTCGCTGTTTGATGTTCTAGTGTAAACAATTTCATAATATTGCAGTTGTATAATTATGTGTTCAACTTCGTTCAGGTCCTCTAAGAATCAAAATTTCTCAAGTTTGATTAGTTTTGAAACAATTTGTAAGCAAGAAATACATAATTAACTACCATAATGAACTCATCTCACAGAATTCGGACTTGAGGTCACATTTTTGTTTAAAGTGGAGCCGTTAAACATTGATGCATCGATTGACACGATGGTCCTGAGAAGTGTTTTTTTCGAAAGTTTTTTCATTGACATTTAATGACCTGCAGGTCAAGGGATGGAGGTTTGTCAAGCAACAACGAAGAAGAAAATGACGAAGATGATGAAGATGTGAGGCCAGAGGATGACGATGATGATGGAGAGGAAAAAGACAGCTCTTCGAGTAGTGTCAGCGAGTTGAGTAGTCCCACAACAGCAGCCATTACCCCCAGAAAATCAAAACTCCAAGCCTCTTTCAATCACCAGTCAGGTAAACTTACGAAAACATGCAAGCAGAAGATGGGATGCACTAGGGCAGGGATCAGTTCTATAGGACCCTGGACTCCCGTAAGAGCCAACAAAGCATTTACTAGTGCTGCGATCTTGCGTAGGACCCTCGCACCTTACTGCTATTAGCAGTTGTTGGACTTGACAAAAATCCGTGCCTAAAATCGAATTTTTCACCTTTCTTTAACATGTTGTAGGCCCCCTCTTTGTTGAAAGGGATCGGAAAATGCCATAATATATTTATTTTTCAAGAATTCAGCCTCCATATGCGTTATTTTTCAATCATCGGCTTAACCTCACTTTTGGAGCAGGAGCTAGATGAGTCAAGGTTCGAGGGGAAGGATCCTCTGAGTTTACTGGGGTCCTACGCGAGAATGCGCTGAACGCAGCGCTCACCACAGTGCGGCGTCCTTTAGAACTCGTCCCTGACTAGGGTATTTCATAAATAACTTTTTATTGAAAACCTTTGCTCCACTCAAAGTCTCTGGTGCTACTGGACCTCAGTATAATGGATATGGGTCAAATTTTGGACTTGCACATTTCTACATGCATCCCAAATCCCCCTTGTTTTTGAAAAATTGGCTGATATTGAGGATTTTTTTTCTCTTTCAGTTTTACATGTAAGAAATTTTTTTAGTGAATCTTCAATTAAAATGCTTCATTCAGCCTCATCGAATAAGAATTGAGCCGCCATGATTCTAACTTGGGGGCACACTCAAGGGGAACATGCAATTTTGGGGGGCATGAGCTCATAAGAAAATCCGTGCTCTCTGGTTTTTGTTTTTCATATTCCTTTTTATTTGGTCAAGAAGTTTCAATGTTTTCGAATGATAACAAATGAAGACCCTGTTTAGGTCTGAACGTGCTATTGTATTGTAAAATTATTATGTATACAATGCTGAATTAAAAAATCCAACTTAACACATTTTGATTGTTGTTCTCTAGGATTACGGCCGCGGCCAAGTTCAAACCTCTCCGCATCTTCAGACAGCAGCAAAGATAAAAAACCAACGTACCCACTCTACTCAAATGTGGACTATTCAACGCAGAACATGCTGCCACTTCACCAGTACATCCTGGAGCAGGCGAAACTGTCAGGCTGCTACAAGATGGGTGACTCTTTAGCGGAAGAAGGCGATTCGGTGTACTCAGAGGAGGATGAGCATGACAATGCTCGAGATGAGTATGAGTCGGACGAGTTTGCAGATGATGAAGGGATGTCTAATCAAGAGGAAGACCTATCCAGCTCGCAGGAGTACCTTCACGATGACTCAGCACACTTCCTGGAACAAGAGTTTAAATTGGCGCGTCCTAAAAACTACTCTACAGGTAGTTTTTTCATTCCAGTTGAATTTGTTTGTTCTCTCTGGAAGCGGAGATTGGAATTGAAAAGTAGAGAACAATTAGAAGATTTTTAAAAACGTGTACTCTTGTAGCTTAAATTTCCCTGCTGGTTGGAAGCAATCAACCGACCCCTGCTTGAAATTTTCATAACCATTTACTTAATGAAACCTAATTTTTAGAGGCAGGAATTTTGCAGCCCTGAGAGATCATTGAATAACCCTCGAGAGTTTTTTCTTCTTCTTAATTCCTTGAAAATGTTTGAAAATTATAAATTGCGTCTAGTTCACAAGAATTATAGTTTTCTCATCTTTAATAACCGGGGTACTCATTTCTCATCATCACTTATGTGAGAATATTCATCTTTCCATGTAATTAGTCTCTCTATTTCTGCTGTCCTAAGTAATTTTTCACTGGATTTCTGCTCACCTTTAAATGAATTCCAATTGGAACACACCAACTTTTCACTCTCTTGTTTAGAAAAACAATTTTTTTGTGACTGTCACATCAGGAGGATTAGTTGAGTTTTAGACGAACTGAAAACATCTAAAAAATCCTTGACGCGGCGGAAAATTAAACGGAGTTGTGGGAGAGGAGAAATTGAACGAAAGAATTGATTGAACCGAAAAGATTGTATGAAAGAATTTTGAAGAGATACAGAATTTAAGAGTAGTCACACTTGTGCCAGAAGTGCTAAAGAGGGCACATCGTACATGTACGGGTCAGATGGTAAAGGACCAAGATTTTGGGGCAGCGCAAGCTTTTATAGACTTGCTGACGTCACAGGTGGTGAGACAACAAGTCTACACGCCATTGGCTGGCTATAATCAGTGGAGCTATCAGCTGCAAGTTCAGTAATTAAATTAATGGGCAATTGTAGGAGATGGCTGGGTGATAGCAGTAAAAAGAGGAAAATGGACAAAATCCAGCCATCCCTAATGAGTTACTGAATATGCATGAGAAATTTATAAGTTTAAGAAAAGAACAAGTTGCAGGTGATTCAATACCTGTGACAGTGACAAAAGTCCATAAAAATCTTATCGAGAAGCATGAACATTTCTCAGCAATATCTTGTATTTTCGGCTGAAGTCCCCAGAAAACTCAACAGGAGTCTTTGAATTTCATGTTTGGTATCTGGAGGGTTCAGTGGTTTTTAGCGTTTTTCGGATTTAAGGGTAGAAATTTTCCGTTGTTTAACTCCGAAAAACACCAAAAAAGCAACAACCTGATGAGCCATCAGGAGTTGACAGTGTTGATTCAATGGAAAAACTGAATATTTGCATTGTATGTAGAACCGGTATGAACTCCTCTTTTAAAATTAAGATTACCAAAAAAGGTAAAAATTAATGATAGTAAAAAGGAAAAAGTTTGTAGTACTTTCAGAGGTAAGTGCCCATTGTTAAGAAGTCATGATTATTTATCTTACAGATGGACGAGTAAGCGACTACGTAGTAGACGAATTAGAATCTCGAATGGCAGCCAGTGGTGGCAGCTATTACAATATAGCTCATGAACCCTCGCGCAGCAACAGTCATTTAGGTAAGCTGTAACCAGTCAACTATTTCATTCTCTGGCTATTTAATGCTATAAAATTGGAATTTTGGAGCGAATTTTACTGAGGACATACATTAAGACTAGATTTACTCGAAATCGTTAATATTTCAGTTTTTATGAAAACTGCACTTACGTCCTCCAATTCCCTCAAATTTACTCCATTGTTGATTTTACTAAAGTGATGTGACAACTTATATTTTAAAACAAATACTATGCAATAATGTTAAAGCTTATTTTTATTATTCCTCTTTGAACACTTTTTTCATGACCTCTCAAAAGTAACATGTGTCTTTCTAATTCAGGTGGTCAGTTACCATTGCAAACGCAACACGCCTCCTTGAAAAGGAAGAAAGAAATCTCCCAGATGCCTCCGCCTCTCTACTCGCCCATTCTTGAAAGAGCAGAGGTAAGTTTTCACTATTTTCGATGTAACTAGAAACTTCTATTCGCATTTTTAATTAAACTGTGAGCCAAGTCAGCAAAGGCAATCTTTTTTATAATGATTCATGTTCACTAATATAATTTTTCTAAGTTCAGTATTCTTATGTTCTTCCGTGTCTTTTTCAAAGAGCGCCTTGATCTGTTGGATTATTTTTAACTCTTTGCCTGAATTTTTGTCCTGTCTTTGCTCTATAAATTTGAGTTGCCATGAGCTTGTAGAAAAAAGGGGAGATGTTAAAGCAACAATCTGTTTTTGGAAGCAAACCGGCCCACATCAGTTTATTTTACTGGTAAAGTTGTGTAACTTTACATAAGATTCTTCCGGCAAGTGTGCTCATTAAAACTGATCTTGTAGCTAGATCCTGTTCAGTAAATTATGTTTGATTCATGGCTGTGTATATAATTTTTGTAAGCTTTGATTGCCAGATTGGTTCAAATAATAGGTGTCGTCTTTTCTTTCCTCGTGAGATCACAGGGTTAATTTGAGAAACCTGATCCACTCATTAAGTAAATATATGAAGTTTTTAAGACAAAATAGTCAAACGCACTCAGCTGATGTACAGTTTCGCGCTTAATAATTGTCTGTGAATGCTTCTTAAATGTTTGATTTCTGTCCAGTTACAATTTTTTTTAATTTTTCCAACTTTCTATTAAGCGGCTTTTATTACTCCTTTCATTCGAGTATTTTCCTGTTTATTTGTTTAAATCGATTTTTCCCTAAAGCTTGTTTTGTTTTATTTATTATTATTGGTGTAGTAAATTTGTTATTTTTACACCCCCAGTCCTGTCGGCGATCCCCTAGTCAAAGTCCCCTGTTCCGACATAGCTCACTTCAAAGAACGGACAAGTCTGCCGCAGCGCAATTTGAACAGGTGGCTGTATATTTCATTTTTGTTTTTTTTTTAAAATTTGTTTTACATGTTTCTCTTCCTCAGAACCTTTAAATCTCATCTGATAAAAGAAATCAAAGATGAGAAATCTTGTTGGGCTGAATTACTGAAGTTCAATCACAATAAAATCAAAGCATAAATAATTTTTTTTCTTTTTAAAAAAAAAATAATCAGTCAAAAAATCCAAACTTCTGTATTATATCCACAACAGCAGTCCGAAGTTGCTGTTAAATCGAAAAATTCATGCTAAGCAGCGCATGAAAATTTCCAGTCATTCTCAAAGTTGGCCCTCAGAAGTTGCCCATAACAGATTCAGTAAAAATTGCTTATATCTAAATGCACCTGGACTGGAAGAATGTCTGGATGCAAGCGTTTTGCACTGGATTTTCAAAAATAAATTATGCCTTGGAATGTGTTTCAAGTTCCAAAACTCAGTAATGTATTTTGGAAGGAAATTCTGCTTAAAACCGAAAGTTGAAACTAAAAGAAAAACTGATACAATCAGTTCGAATGTATGTGGAAATTTTTCACATTTTTTTGTGGTCAATATCCAAGACTATTCAATTTTAATGATACCATCAGTTTTGGATATAAGCATTTGATTACATAAGAGGTTTCTACTATACCTCTGGTCTGCATCATCTTCTCATTCAAAGCATTTTAAAAATCAAAGAGTTTCCAGGTATGATTCGGCTTATAAGAATAAAGTTATTAGTCCAAGTAACTCCCTGGTTTCCAACCCAATTTTCAAACTGATCCACAATGAATTTTGAGTCACGTGCTTATTGCACCATTTAAGCCTTATAATGAAAATCAGCTGAATATTTAAGAGATAGTTTTTATGTTCAGTATGTTCAGCCTTAATTTTCTTTTTATCTTTTCATTGTGCACATACTTTAGTTTCTGATCATCCGCACTTTTTCTTTCTTTCTTCTCTTTTTCTTTTGCCTCGGTTGAATGTCAAAATTATTTTTGCATGGATTTAGTATTATCTAATGCCTTGATTGTCTCTCCTTGAAAATTTCCTCACTAATAGTTGTACTGAGGAAAATGAGACTTCTCTTTGTTAACGGAGAAATACTCCCTAAGTGACGTTTTAGATGGACATAAGATAGCAACAAAAATATATATACTTCATTAGAAGCTAGAAGAAGCATAGAAGAAGCACATATAAATTGCTTTTTTATAATGTAAACGCCCTGAAATAGTGCTACATCACCAATTGGAAAACTTCTATCTCAGACCAACGAGAGAGGTGTTTTTTCCACTCTGTTGTGATACAGAGTGGAAAAAGCTGAATCCTTTAAACTCCTTCTTAGTGGCACTGTTTCTTTTTAATTATTTGGGGTGGAGGGGGGAGAAAAAAAAAAGGCACAGCGTTCTCTTGTGCTGTCACTATAAGATTTTTTGAGAACATGTGAATTGCATTTTGCAAACAGGAACCACAAGCATTGCAATGTTGCTAAGATAGTACAATTTCTTTTGTCTTGGATAACAAACCTGATTATTCATTGACAGTTTCTATTTTACCCGTTGAAAACTGTGAATCTAGGACAAAAATGACCGTGTAAATTTCATATTTTTTTCATGATCTCAGTTATTTCCTGCAAAGGATGAATTTGCACAATCTTAGCATCATTGCAATGCTTCTGGTTCCTTTTTGCAAAATGCAATCCATGTTATGAGCTTCAGTTCGTTGTAGTTTCATATATGAGTCATATGTCACTTGCAGAAGTTTGTGTCAATCAGCTGATGATGTTGAGAGAGTGGCTGCTGAAACAACAGTTTTAAGTATCACCCAAAGTATTGATTATTCAGAGTTAATCATTTGTAAATGAGCCTGTTTGAAGTTTGATATCGTGTAATTTTTTTCTGTTTCTCATGTTTGGTTGACTTTAGCTTTGCTCAAATCAAAAATTAGATCTTAATCCTTTTAGTATCTGGTCGGCCTTTTTTACTCATTTTCTCTTCTCATTCTGATTTTTTCTTCATATTTTTACAGTTGTCAAGAGTTGTTTTAAACCGAGAGAAGAAATTACCGTCTGAAAGTGACATAGAAAAATATGCCCAAGATAATTTGAATATCCACAAAAAAGGAATCTTCCGCAAGAAATTTTCCGTGCGTGATATGTTATCTTGGTCGAAAGTAAGTCTGTCTTTTCGCCTTTACGTTTTTCATTATTTGAATTACCATTTATGTATCTGATAAAAAATTATAATGTATAAATTGGAAAAGGATTACTCTACATTTTGGCACAAAAAACATGAACATAAGTTAAACTCAACTAGAGTTATGGTTGCGTAAAGTCTGCAGTCCAAAAAATCTGGCTCTGATAATAAGCAAGCTAAAAGCTTAACAGGTCCTTTTTTGAGCTGAAAACTATTTGGTTATAACACAGCTTCACCTTTTCTGTTTACACAAAATTTAACTCAACTTTTCCCAACCTATTTCTTTAAGCTTCTTGGGTATGTTTTGTGTCCCCCCACCTCCCTCTTATTGAAAAAAAATTCTCTTCTGAAACGTTTACTTAGGTTTTTTAAGGTCCTATATAATGTAGAAATCTAGTATAAGTATCAGTTGTTAGTGGTAAATATAACTGAAACCATTCATTGCTGCCTAGAAACATGTATCATGTATTGTTTTGTGTATTCTTTGTAACATCAAGCCAGAAGCCTATCTGAGTTCTAATTTCGTTTTTCAATTTTAGGATCCAATAAGAAAGCCGATGTTAGTGCTTTCAGATAAAGCTCTGAAGAAGGAAGCCTGTGAGTTGTTCAAACTAGTTCAAATTTACATGAGCGACCGCAAAGCTAAACCAGAAATGACAATAAACAGTGTTGCGTATGATATCTGCAACATTGGATACACGAAGGCTGCTCTCAGAGACGAACTTTACATCCAGATCTGTCGACAAACAACGGAAAATCCCAGGAAGTATGTCCATTGTATACCCTTTCAGATTTTTTGACTGTGTATAATGAATTTTGTGTTTTTTTCTGTTAAAAGGATTGAGACTGTTCCATTCGTCTCTTGCTCATTTAAAATAAAATCACTTATAGTAACAATCTCTTCTCCAGTAATGCTCTTGATTACTTTATCAAGCAAATATTCCTTGTCGATATTATTGTTAAAACGTTTCTATTCTTCTTGTACTTCCAGAGAAAGTTTACGAAGAGGCTGGGAGCTGCTGGCAATCTGTCTGGCTTTCTTCCCACCATCACCGAAGTTTCAAGCATATCTTGAGGGCTACATGAACAGGTGTGCTAATGTCTCCGAGCAATATTTTTTTGAATCACTTTGTTGCCTTTAAAAATGTACAAAATCTAAAGATTGGCGTTGATTGCATGTTGTTGATCGTTTTAACAATTTTAATGATGCTAGAAAAAAGTCTCTTCTGCACTCATTTCATAAGATGAGCGAATGATAAGTTCGAGTTTTTCAAATTCAAGGGAAAAAATAAAAAACAGGTAGTTAACCATCTGAGCTTACTGCCTCTGATTCAAATTTTATTTTCTTATTAATAGTTGCATGCAAAATCATGTTATTAACGCCAATAAATGTTTAATGGTGATGAAAGCAGTAATTATTAATTTGGCATAATCTAAGATCTGACGAAATCTTGATAAAGTGTCAAAAATTACTCCAATTTTCTCTTACTATGTCGAAATCGGAAAATCAGGCAATCGCTAATTCCTGAATTGCATCTGCAATAATTATATCTTTTAAACTCAAATTGTAGAAGAGGAACTTTTGTTTTTGCAGGAAATTTTCTGTTTTTCTCCAAAGGCTAAATGTACTTTTAGTAATTAACATAGTCACAATGCAAGAATTCAAACTCATTTGTACATCCTCTAGATGTCAACACCATACCAAGCTTTTGGTGCGTTAAAACAATGGTTGATTAGATTTTGTTGCAAAACTCTAGAATAGAGTCCATCAATTATCAATGTCATTGATTTTTCATTTCCTAATTGAATTAAAAAGTTGGAAAGTGAGTCAAACCTAAAATGAGCCTTGTAACTTTTCTTTTCTTAGACATCTCTAAACTTAAAGCCGAAATATTTCCATGTTTTCCAGGCATCGAGATCCAAGTTTAAACTTTCCAGAAGTTGGTAAATGGCCTATTCATGTACAAGTTAGTCACTATGCCACAGTGTCTTGTAAACGGTTAGAAAGAGGAGGTGTAAATGGGAAAAGGAGGCCCCGGAAACCATCCATTGAAGAAATCGATCAAGCAAGAGTGAGTTTTAATAATAAGTTCATCTCTCACAACTCTCTACTCAACTTAAACTTTCATCCTCAGAGGTTTTGAAAAAGGTATCTTGTCGAAAAATCAGGAATTCTTAAAAATCAGCAATTGCGAAACCTTAAAAAAAAAATCTAGACCTTCAAACTAGGTTTCTCCCATTTTTTAATATTTGTTTAAAGACACCATTGCTTCGAAGTTACTTTTAAAATACCAAAAAATTACTTCGCGCTTTTTGGTCAAATTTTTTATGCAAATACCTGATGCACCACAGTGTCATGTAATGCTCAGAAAATCTAAAAAAATGCCGAAAAGTCCAGAAATGATTGTTTGATTGATCGACCATCAAGTGTCAAAGAACGACCTTAAACTTTTTAGTCAGACTAATAAAAAATCGACGATCTAGAGGATAGTTTGTAATCCAGGATAAACTTAACAGAACTTCAAACAGTGTGCACTACGATGATCTAAAAAGTAAAAATGAAAGAACCCTCGCCACCTCAGGCGTTTATTGGCCCCTGGGGATAGTATTTTTATTTTTTTCATTCTGACCAATTTGTACCTTCTCAAAAAATGGTCGTCTTTCTTTGTCTGCATGTCATTAACATATTTTGTAAATTGATTCCGATAGATCCAAATATTCCGACCGAGCATGTTTGGAAGCACGCTTCAGGAAATCATGGACATGCAAAAGGAAAGGTTCCCTCACTACAAGTTACCGTGGATACAGACAACGCTCTCTGAACAAGTACTGCGCCTTCAAGGCACACAAACAGAAGGCATTTTTAGGTAATTACCTGTTATTATACTGTTGTATTTCCCCGACTGGTTTGATTTTGATTTTTCTGCATTGCGGTGGACAAATGCTGCTCAAACATTCAGTTTAACTAATACCTTCCTACAAAATACAAATTTATTTCTTCAAATTCTGATTCCTCTAAAAACTTCAAGGAGAAACATTCATTTTTTAAGAGTGGGATAGGGGAGAAAAAACAGCTGAATTTAAAATTGTCAGCTCTGTGTGACAATCGCTTCTTTTTTTCACCTTTTGCCTCATTAATTTGCAGACTTGATTGTATACGTTGATTGTTGTTATCTGATCATCTTCAGAGGAGCGTCCTTTGGACTCTCCAGAACTTAAGCTGAATTCCAAGATTCATTAATATGATACACCACTTTTTAAAACTGCAGATATTGAAATGACACAAGAAAGAATATAAATTAAAAGTGTGGGTTTTTTTTTACAGGGTATCAGCGGACGTTGATGAAGTTACAAGTTTGAAAACTCAACTCGACGCATGGCAAGTTCCTGTAGATTGTTTAACCGATGCCCACACGCCGGCCTCTTTGTTGAAGCTCTGGTATCGTGAGTTGTATGAGCCACTAATACCAGATGCAATGTACTCAGAGTGTGTTACCCACCATGATAACCCGAGCAAGGCCCTCGCTATTGTAGACAAGCTTCCACTGATCAATAAGCGTGTTCTGATGTATCTGGTCCGCTTTCTCCAGGTATTTAGAAATTCAATCACCTTTTTGCACCCTTACATGTTCCCATGTATACTGAAGGGAAATTGTACTGCCGCGTCAGTAAAGTTGGTAAGGGGGTTGATATTGCTTTATTCTGCATTGAGTTCATGAACACAAAATTTCAGTCCTAGTCTAATTCTACCCAGCTATTATTGAAGATCAGATTCAAAATTACCAAAATATTTACTGCTACGTCATTGGCTTTCACCAATAATAGCTATTGATCAAGAACACAAAAGTATCTCCAAAACATCTCTGCAGTAGATTTTTAGCAAATTGGCTTTTTTAAGTATAAATTGGAATTGAAATCACCATCAGTTAAATATTTAACTTAAATACACAAAAATATGCAACTATCCAACTTAGCTAGATTCCATTATGCCAGTTTTTTTTAGAGGTACAGACATAAATTCAGGAAGAAAACTTCTTCTTCTTACATTTTCCCCAAAAAATGGAAGTCTTTTGGCGCAAAAAAGCACACTCAACTGGATATAACCCCTATATTAATAAACTGAATGATTTTTTTTTTTTTTTTTCAGATGTTTACACGACCAGAAGTTGTTCAAGTGACAAAAATGGATGCAAGTAACCTTGCAATGGTGATAGCTCCGAATTGTTTGAGGTGCACCTCTCAAGACCCTCGAACAATTTTCGACAATGCTCGCAAAGAAATGGCCTTCATGCGTGCACTCATCCAGCATCTAGATACAAGCTCTGTGGAAGGAATGTTTTAGTGCTCGGTAATTTCCTCATTTTTGTTTGTATATTGACTAGAAGAGGCTTAAATTGTCATTTTAGACCAGGCTCTTTGTTGGCCGGTTGTTTCTCAGCCGACCCACTCAAGGTTCTACCAATATCACAACACTTGTCCCATGCATGTAAACCTTTTTTTATATATATTTTTTAAAAAAAAAAAAAAAAATTCAAAATAAGAAAATCAGGATCTCAGGCTGTGCATTTTCGTGTGATTCCGAAGACCAACAGGAAGCCCTTTAAATTAGTCAGTCCGCAGCAGAAACTTTTGTGCCTAACTGCCTCGAGTCACAAACTAAAATAAAGATTACATTTTAATTGATTATTAAGGTTATAAACTGGAATGGATCCGGGAATAGGGAGTATGTCAGGGAACAATTAAAATGAGGGAGACATCAGAGGGAAGGAAAACAGAAATTATTTAATCAAAGTTAACGAAAAATTTTGAATCTTTTTTCGTGAATGCACCATTTTTTTTTATCTCAGTTTTTACCTTGTTGCAGGTGAATGTTGCACTGATCCTCCTGTGATCCTGCTAGTATGTTCAACAAACCCATCTTGTGTATGACGTTATGTAAGTTGCACCTATTTATCTAGCATTGTTTCCCCCTCCCTTCCTTGTATATACTGTACAGAGTTCTGTACATTTGTTTGTACGTTTGGACGTACATCTATAAGTTCACATTTTAATTTATGATTTGTCTACTGATGCTGTTCAGTTGTCTACCAAAAAGTACAGTTTTGGGAACTTTGGTGGTTTCTTAATTATTTGGAATGCCTTTTTCGGAAAAACCATGTTTTGTTGTTTCCGGCATTGTATTAGTTCACATATGGTCGCCTCAATCCCAACCATGAATGGTTTTTTTGGTGTTTCGTAGGTATCAAATAAGACAGATGATTATGCAAGAAATGCTCTAATTGTCTACAGTTAGGTTACCAAATTTCAATTACTTCATTTTTCAGAAAGTGAATTGAGTCATAATTGTAAGAATTCAATCAGAATCAGTCCAACTACATCAGATATTGCCCTAATTACTCTCATATTTTATTTTTTCACGGAAATCAAATGATATTCTGACTTCAAATCGTCTGAGAATATTCTTCATAACCTAAAAATAATTCACATCAAGTTGTTTGGTATTCTGTCAAAAAAATATATACAGTGGGCGCCGCTTATTAGAAACGTGGTTAATAGAATCGGCCGCATAATGGAATCATTTCTCGCGGAACGGACCGGCAACATCCAATTCCATACGAAATCCGCCGCGTATTGTGTTCGCCGGCCGCATATTGTGATCGGGAATTGTTCAGTGCCTACTGAGGAAGATATATGCGTCNAGTGAATTGAGTCATAATTGTAAGAATTCAATCAGAATCAGTCCAACTACATCAGATATTGCCCTAATTACTCTCATATTTTATTTTTTCACGGAAATCAAATGATATTCTGACTTCAAATCGTCTGAGAATATTCTTCATAACCTAAAAATAATTCACATCAAGTTGTTTGGTATTCTGTCAAAAAAATATATACCAAGAGAGAAAATTATGCAGCGTGAAGTACAGTTAAGATGATCTTGGCAAAATCTGTCCGAATGGTTTATGGTTAATGGATTATGTTAACCCACTACTCTTGAATGTTTGAAAAAATTAAAAAGAACTAACTGCTTTGTAATTTATGGAGACAATTTTTTTTTGTGGAAAAGTGCAAGATGTTGTACCTTCAAATCATCAGAAAGTAAGGTTCCCAGAAAATTTCTTCATGAATGCAATGAGAACTGTTGAAAAAATAAGAGTGAGTTGAACCGAGTTTTCGTGGAAATGAAAAGTCTTTAATATCAGCTCAGACGAGTTCTTTTGCAGACTTGAATTTTTTATTAAGACTTCCTTTACACAATTTTACTTGTAAGACGATTAAGAACAATTGTACCAAACAAATCTTCATTCAATTTCCTCATTAGTATCTAGATGTAAAAGTAATGACAATGTTCTAGGGGTCGCCCATGAATTAAGTACCTTACATTTAGGGTATTGTTATCTGTGACTCCCATGACAATGCTGTATACTGCAAATTATACAACAGTGGCTCTGACTACCCCCTTTATTCAGTTCCAAAAGTGTTAAGAACAAATTTCAAATTAGTTAATCAGGTCTAGGTTGAGTGAAAGTTCAACGAACATTGCAGCTGAAAAATGAAAAATAGAGAGAAAAAGTTGTTTATTTCCTGGAAGTTTAAAAAAATACATGATGTTTCATGTAAACTTTTTGGTGTTCCTCGTCAAACACTCCTTCGCCCATTGTAATTTATTGAGGAAAATTGTTTTGGGAAAATTGCAAGAGACCTACCCAGTTTTTGGAGAGATGCGCTATTTTTGAACAGCTGGTATAAAGGTGAATGAACTCTTTCATACGTATCTCAAGAAAACTCAGAGGCGCTATTAATTGGCTATCAATGAAGGAAGAGGCTTTGTTTACAAGATGTGCTGCTGTGGAGGAACACATACATGTCACATGATTCTAATGTGCAGTTATGCTGTATTTTGGCTGATGGGGAATGATCATTCAAAATTATTTCAGTGCATGTGTACTTTTCCCTTTCTTGTTCATTTTGTCCGTGCTTTCCATTTCTTGATTAGGTTTCGATGTTACAAGTTTGGTCATCGAAAATCTTCTGTATAGTTTTTATAGCTTGAATTTTTCTCTTCAAAAATGGCTGCATAGCCATGAAACCCAAGTATACTCAACTCGTGCCATTCACTTGATCTAAGGTAATTTTATGCTGTGTTCAAAACACCATTCACAACACTTGTGAAATCTTTTTTATTCTAAACTTAGTTTTTAAAGCATGGGGGTGAAGAGAGAAACCATAATTATTAAATTTCAAGCATGCCTGTAAACTAAACTGAGTTTCACGAGAACATACAAATACAGGGTGATCAGAAAATCCCGCACCATGAGCACCAGTAACTTTTGATCAAATTGAGATAGAGACTTGAAATTTTGTAAATACTCCTGGTCAAAGGAAACTACTTTTGGCACACCGCCCCCCCCCCCAAATTCTAACGGAATCACCCTGTAAAGAGACAAGAACCCCAGAGGTTAAAGGAGTGGTCATTTAATGCAGTAATAAGCTGTTCTCTATCCAAAGTTAATCAGAGCAAGAAACACAAATTTCAGAGTTTATCAGGAAAAATCTCTGAACTTACTAGACTGTTTTTGCTCTCTTGCTCTATGAATTGATGTAATGCTCTCCAGCTCTGAAGGTATTTTAATATTAATTTTGTCCTAGAATCGAACCCCCCATTTTATGCTTATTTCTTCGCCATCCAACGTCAATGGTGTATCGTTTGTTTTTATTTCATTCGTATTTTCCAGTATCCCAAAAATTTGTGCTAGTCTCAAAATTTGTATTCCAAATTTAGTCCATAGTGAGGTAATTAACTTAATTGCCTTGCGCAAAGAATTGTCTTTCCTCCAAATGAAACATGTTAATATCGTCAGCAGTATTTCTGAATATCTCATGGTGAAGTTAGCTCCACTTTGGTAAAGTTTTTTCTCTAAATTGACATATTTCTTATTCGAAAAAGCCTTCAAAAAAGTAAGTACCCAATGTCGACTTTGATACCAAAGGCAAGCACTTACTCCTGATTACTCATGCCATTTTTTTTTACTTTCCCTAAAAATTTGCATATAGATGGGTGTTACAAGTTAACAAACATACTTAATAAACTTTTAAAGAGGTGCCATGCAAATGCATTGAAATTTGTAATAACTTTGTAAAGTTTGCACCAAAATGACGTAAAACATGTGGTGTTAAAGGATGCGCTGAAAGCAAGTGAACTGCGCCTCTAACTAAAAGAGCAGACCCTTATTGACTAGCAGATTTTTTTGTAAGGAGGCAATCGTTTCCTTCCTTTTTTTTCAAATTAATACCATTTTGTCTAACAGATTACTTTAGACCCTGTCAATGAGTGATACTCATATGACCATTTTTGTCCTTAAAATTTAAATATCTGATCGAAAGAAAAAGAAAAATTCAATAAAGTTACTCATCTTGCTCCAAGATCAAGCTGCAAAAGCCAGTACAGAAAGGATATGTGCGAAAGACGTTGGATTATTTTGTTCACCTTTTTTTCTAGCGACCTTTAATTGTAATGAACAGGGTTAAATTCTTAATTCATACTTGAAGTTAAAGAAAGAAAGGAAGTACACAATTTAATTCAATAAGCACTTTTGTATAAGAAACCTTAAATTGATCATACTTAATTCAATACTAAGTAAACTAAGATTGCTGGTGCCTAATCCACAATTTAAAATTGGATGTAGAGACTCTAACTTCGGATAGATCATTTTTTTTGTTAACTTGTAAACGTGAAAACACAACTGTGACCAATGTAACGAATCTATTCTTCTTTTCCGTGTATACGTACTAATGATAAGAAAATTACACCAGGATAGGCTCAGCTCATCCTGATAGCAAAAATTTCCCCTTATTTTTCCATTAAATTTTCACCATTGAATGTACTCATATGCATCGACCTCGCTGAAAGCAATGACTGATAAAGAAAAAGTGAAGTAATAATTGTAATTATTAGTAATTATGTGTACTTAACGTAATTTAACGAACAGCTGATAAGTTCCTTAATGTTCTTTTCTTTTTATATATACATACAAATAATACTTGTAAATTACTGTACTCATGTTTGAAATAGAATATATTTTTATGGTTAAATTATTTTTTTTAGTTGATCAAACATACTAAACTGTGCCACGTTCAATGTTAATCCTGTTATGCTTTTGAATAGTTTGCAATCATTGCTACTTATGTTAGCCTGTAATCGTAGTCCCTTTTTACAAAACGGTTGCTTCGAAATTGATGAGACTAAGTACCAATATGAGAACCGGTATCAGTCAGAGAATATTCTGCCTGGTCAGCTTAGTAAGTGTTGACAAGGAGTTATCACTAGTCTAAATTCATTATAATAATGTCACCTGTTGGTAGGAATGATCAGATTTTTTAATTTCATTCCAATTTTTTTTCTCTCTCTTATAATCTTGAGTTTATACCCTAGTGCTCATGAAGTACATTCATTTTTTTAGATGGAATTCGCATGCAATCATAAAATTTACATCAATGATTTTTAGCCCTAATACTCTTTTTACTGATTTACTCGTATTTTAAAGACGTAAACATGTTTCTCCCCAAGACTTTTTGTTTGTTTTGTATTCATAATTTCCACCACTCTTAGATACTTCTGGTTTTTGTACAATGCTGCCACCAAGATTAGAATTTACTCGGACATATATTATGAGCAACTATACAACAGTTTCCAAGCTAATTTTCCAATAAATCTACTTAAAGAATTTGACTCTTTTCTAGTTTTAAGTGAAGTTTTGTCTTGCACTATCCTTTTACAATTATCTGCAATTTATTGTAAGTCTCCGTAGCCAAGAAAAGCCTCTGGAAGATTGAAAACTTCATGAAGTCACCAGTAGAAATTTTTAGGAATTACACCAGAGATATTTGTTATCACTACTTTGTTTATGATCACTACAGCTGTTGTAGTCTCTCGGTAACAAGCTTTTCTTTTAGATTTTCACAACACATTAATGAGAGTTCTTAGAAAGTGTATTTTAGGTGTTCTAATTTGTTTTAACTCCTGCAACAAGCACAACACTTTTAAACTTGAAGTTTAAAAAAACGAAAGATAACAGTTTTAAGCGAAATACTTTCTCACTCTAACTATCACGTGCACTGTAGGTGAAAACCCTATTATTTGAAAATCTTGAAAATGAATTTTTTTTTTTTTATCTAGTCATTGGACTGTTTCGACAAGCACAAAGTTGCAAAATGTCAACTGTATTTTTCCAATTCCAAAGTTGCAATGTGAATGTTCGGTTTCATGAGTCAGTTTAGTTTCCACACGTCATCAGTACTTTGCTAGCAGCTCTGATGATTAATTTGAATTCTGCTGTAAAATAGTTACTCTTATTTTGGACTTACTGTGTTGTACTATTAGTTAAAAATTAATCTTAGTTTTTCTGTAAAGCTGGTCAATGAACCATTAGAAAAGTAAAGCGATTAACAACCTTTATTTATGATTCCTCATCAAATTTATCGTAATAATGTAGTTGAATTGAAAATTTTAAAATGCCACTTGTAAGTTTGAAATTAGCTGTATTTTTTTTAATTCTAATCTTGCAATTGCCAAAAAAGGCAAGCAAAATTGGACACCAAGCTAATACGACATGTCTTAAAATGAAATAATTTTCTCATATATTGTGCTGAAGTTCTTCTAACAAGATTGTAAATACCGTGTGTTAGAAAAGGGCACCGTTTTTTAAAACCCTACTCTAGTTACTTGTCAGACTTATCTTTTTTTAATGGCCTATTTGCCTTATGTTAACTTTGGTCTTTTTAAAAGTGGGAAGGTAAAACAAACTGATTATGGTGGGAAAAAAATTACAGTTTTTCTCTTTTAAGTTGATTTTTGAAAAAAAATTATCGTACAATAAGTTTTGCAAAAAATTTGTGTGAAAAAACATGTCTCTAAGCATTTAATTCTTACTGTGTCTAATGGTTCATTTGATATAACTGAATTTAAGGAATTATTTGGAATTTTTACGGTTTTTTTGGCATTATTTTCTGTCTCTTATGAGCTGCAGCGACTTTTAAACATCATGAAATTGTGGCGTTGGGCGCTACACTGACTCAGGAAGCTACGAAGTAAACATATATTCATTGTATCTCTGTATATAACGTTTGGTACACTGCGTTTGTGAGAATAGTGTAACATTTATACTTAAGTGCTATGATGATCTAACCATCATTATGCGTCTATTTATCAGTATTTTATTTTTGTTTCTCCTTCTTTTTTAATCTTTCTTTGTTTTCTCCTCTATTTTTCTTTGGTTTTCATTTCAATTGCTAATCAACTTCCAATTTTTATTGTTACTTAAATTGTAATTGCAAGATCAAGTTTTTGGCTGATTTTGTATAGACCGAAAGCTGGTCCAGCTTACTCTCCCAATAAAGATCATATTGACTGTTAAGTATTTTTTGAAGCATTTTTTTAAATTTATTTTTGAAAATTCGATTTGCTGCTCTTTTCCCGGAAGATTACCCAAGTATTACCAAATGTGCTTGCTTACTAATCCATAAACAGTATAGAACGGACATCTGGTAATGCAGAACGTCCGCCAGTACGAAAAGTCTGGAAATAGTACTGACTCTTTAAAGGCGGTCCAGAAGTACTGAAAAAGTGCGGAAATCCTGCCAGAAGGTCCGGAATTTTTTCCCTCATACCATGAGTATTTTTATTAAAGCCTGGAAAGTCCCTGAATGTTGATTCTTATCTAGTAGTATTTCCCTGCAAGATCGTGATTGTGAGACAGTGAATCTACCAGCCACCAATGGAATTTTGTGGCTAAGTCATTTTGTCGCGTTTCGAGCAAGAATTTCAGATTTTCTAAATTTTTCGGATTTCATCAAATGAAGGTACTGGAAAAGCACTCAACTTTTGGGATGAGGGGGTACTGAATTTCTTTGGAATGTACTGAAACAGTACCGTAAAAGAACTAATTTTTGGCCAGCTGGTTTTATTAGACACCCTGTAATGTGGAAAAAGAATATTTGTTCAATTTCCGAGTCGAAAGTCAAATGAAAAAAGAAAAAAAGACATCTCTTTTGAGATTGGCAGAAAATCTTATGGAAAGTCAATTTTTTTACCTCTCAGCCAGCCATGTATTGAAAGGTGGCTGAGTGGAAACTCTATTTACAGATGTCGCAGGCAAATAGTATATTCAGGCATTTTGTCTAATGCCCAGGCTAACAGTCAAATATTCTTACTTTAAATTGTTATTTTGATTATTTCCCTAATTTTAGACAAAGCTCCTGTAAGAAAGAATTCTCTATGAAAATTGTCATCTTACAATAACATTTTAAACGGTTTTTAGCTCCTGAACGAACATATATCTTAAAATCATCAGATTGCCATTAAATTGAACTTTTTTAAAATTTTAACATTAAATATATGAGAAACATTTGGAGAGGAAGGAGCAAGAGGTGTTTGTAGATTTGATGAGCCATATTTATTAAAATATTGAAAACTTTTCGCCATAAATTTACACAATTTTGTTAACTGCTAAAATTTGACTACCTTCCTAGGCATTTGATAAAATGCCTGATTTAACTAATTGCCTGCGACATAGATATCAATGAAGAGGGGAACCTCGCGGTGATGTATCCACGGCTGCCGGTACAACCATTTTTCCTCGAGTGCCTTGTCGGGAAGCTTTGTCTCTTCGATCCATTATCGGAATCAGAGGGCCACGGGGATAGGTATCCGTGCGCCTACTCTTGTGCCGTCGTAACTTCTCCTTGAACCAACAGGAGAGGAAGCGAAATATGTTCCCTCGCGGTTCAAGTCTCTCTGCCATTGATTCATCTGGATCAGTACCCAGCCTCGGCTGTTCTTCAGAAAATAGAGGCCTTTCAGCATGATCATTCCCCTGGAATGAAAAGAAATATGGAAATAAAAGAGACAAAATTAGTACCTACCTGAATTAAACCATCGACACCGTAATGACCGCAGTGTTGAGAAAAAGATTGAGATGTCGGCATCACTCTTTACAACCTTCGTACAATTTTCTTAGCATATTCTGTTACTTTGCCCAGTTTTTTTTGAAGGGGGACTTTTTTATAAACCTATGCTCCTCACAAGAGTAACGCTGGTGAAGGAAAAACTCCGTAATGAGCCTTCAGACGTTGCCAAAGTTCCCTTGATAGAACACAAATTTCGGGATTTGTGTAAATATTTTTCTTTCGAATATTTAGCGAATTTCATTCGTAACTAGATCCAAGGTGTCTGAAAATGTCAAGGAAAATATTCATTCGGCGTTTTTCCTAAGAACGGAAGCATAAGGATTTGTGTGCGACTTGGTTCCTTTTAGTACAAGTAATACTGGTACTAGAATGAACTAAACCGTTTGGAACTTACTCTTTTGGACTAAAAAGTTTTCTGTACAAATCTTGCAATCCCATTTTTCGACTCAATTCAATGAGAAATGTATAAAAATAAAAAAAATAAAAATATGAAATATTGCCTCTGTGGAATGAGACCCATTTTCCCGGGTAAGATAGCTTATCTTTTATCGCTTTTACTTTGATTACATTTCCTCAACAAGTAATTCAAAAGGCACTACACTCAAGTGCTGTACTCTCGACGCGACTTCGGCCCGGAGCGCCTTCATTTCTCGTGACACCACACGCTTTGTCCCGCGGTTAGCTTAGTTGCGTAACCTAACTAAACCCAACTTACGGCATTAAATTTTAAAAAAAAAAATTATTTCCTTTCGATGGCGAGAGTCGAAAATCGCGCATCTGGGGCGTAACGCTTCGAAGTCTTGGCAGCTACACTTATCATCTTTTCAGTGTTGACAAAGAATTTATGTAGACGTTATTGTTTTAAAAATATTTCCAATTATACTAAACATTCATCCTCTTTTAAGAATAAAAAATGTGAAAGGAAAGTTGCAACATCGTAGACTGAGGAACGTGTTTTTAGACCCTCTTGCCATATCGATCAGTTTTGACACTCACCGTGGTTTGTTTAAAGTGCAAAACGTCCGGTGCTGGAAACCCACGCAAGTGCAGGGACTCCAGATTGTCATGGTCTTTCGAGTTTCTCGTCGAAATAATCACGATCTGGGCTCCATCATTCCACGTTAAGCTGCAGAGCTGTAATTAATAGTTAAGTAAAAGCTGTTCTTCGATTCTTCGATCAATTGTGTTATGACTCGGGGGAGGGGGGGGGCAGACTCCCTGAACTCACCTTTCCCTATGCCTGGAGAATTGATCTAAAGAAACTAAATTTTCTTTTTTTTTTATTTTTTACTCGTAAGAAACACACCTCTCATGTAAAATTTCTGGTGACGCCGCACTATGGTCCACAGACCCTATTTAACGGAACTTTAGTCAAATTTTGAAGGTGGGAAAAATTAAAGTTTGGCACTACAGTTTTATCATACATACTCCCATGGATCGTCACCTAAGTTTTCATCGACTAATAATGATTTATAAGATTGTGACGGACCCTAACAACAGAGCGCGCGACAGGTCTTCATTAGCTGATTGTGGGCCGCATTCGGTGGTGCGTTACAAGGTGTTTATTTTACCGAGTTACGCATCATCTATGTAAATTTTTGGGCAACATGGTTCCACCTGGTGGCAAGTGACTTCCTTTTCACCCAGTTTCATTAATTTTGAACTGAAATTTGTATGCTTTTTAACGCTGCAAACATACGCCAAAAAATGATAGAAATCAGTGAAATTCGTAATTTTTAGGAAGCTCCAACTTTTTTTTAATTCTAGTTAATGCTTTGCAGATTGAAAAATCTTGTTCTACATATCCTTAAGTTTAAAATGAGGCCAATTTAAATGTCGCCTTTTGTCGCCTAATGGTCGAAATGAATTTTTTTCGGAGTGCACCTCCGTGCATCAAAATGTGGAATATTCCATGCATTTTTGGCGTTTTTGCGACTGTTAAATTTTTTATCGGTACAAAATTAAAGTATTCCGATATATTTTGATCTACTGAGTCCGAAAATGACCTTGGTTTTTTCTTATAACCTCTCACTTTTCCGAAAAAGTGACTTTTTCCCGGGAAAATGAGCAAATTTGACGTATTTTTGCCATAATTGCAATTCATGTTGATAAATTATACTGGACCGGCGGTAAAGAGATTCTGTTATGTATATTAAGCTGCTAAATCCGAATATGACCTAGGTTTTTTTTATAACCCTCCAGTTCTCCGATAAGGCCGATTTTCCCGAGCCTTTTGGGTAAAACCTTTTCCGGAATCTAAGTGTGTTAAAAATACATTTTAAAAATTATTTCGATGTGCGATACATCGATTCTTATGCATTCTGACTTGCTAAACCCGAATATGGCCTTAGATTTTTCCTATCACCCCTCATTATCCCGGAAAATTCAATTTTCCTTGGAGAACGAGCTTTTCCGGGTAAAATCGGTTTTTCCGAAAAATTGAAGGGTAATGGACAAAAACGGAGGTCATATTCGGATTTATCGCCTAAAAATACATGAGAATAACCTAATCTCGACCGACAGACATTTTTGTTATTATTTTTATACATGTCAAAATAGGGTGGAAAAAATCTTCAATCTTAAAAGCGCCAGAAATTACATTTGAAGTTAAGTTTCTCGGTCAGGATGTTAATATTTTGTTTAACTAAGATGTAAAATGAAATCAGCGACCCAAAAATCATAAGATCCAACACCTTTTATGGCGGTGCAGTGCATTTTCGAATAAAGTTCCGTTAAATCCAGTTTGTGGACCATAGTGCGCCGCAGGCGACCAATAGAATTAAAAGCGTTGCCCCTGGTGAATTAAGGAGATACTACTTAAGTAATTTAAGGTTTTCATTAAGTGAGAGCCAGTGGCTTAATTCATTGCAACACTGCAAAGTTTTATTTGACGCGATTTATTCATTCTCTCAAAAACGGGTGCAAACGAATGTGCTCTCGAAAGACGCTGTGAATTTTCTTCTCTTTTTTGTGATTTGACAACAATTTGTTGAGACTTTCCACGTAAATGAACACCCATCGATAATTGAAACAGTAAGTTGTCTGAAAACTAATTCAAGAAGCAGCATAGACCGTGCGTATGTAGCATTGTGCGTTCACGCCTCGCGCCTTCAACTTTGCAGATGCAACACGGACATCCATCAAGCACGAATAGTTGTATCTCTGCCCCGTCATCAACGCACGACTTAGGACCTTTCCCTTGTAGTTGGTTTCCGTTTGTCTTTTGGAGTGATATCTCAAAGGCTACTTGAGCAACAAGGCCGAAGACAATCGAGACGTAATCGGCCTCGTATTTAACTCTTCTCCCGAATCTAAGCGACACCTCATCGTCAGTATAGAGCGAAAAGGATTGCGAGTTTACGTTTATACCTCGCGCTTTCAATTTTGCAGATGCAACACGGACATCCATCAAGCCCGTACAGTTGTATCTCTGTGCTTTCATCAACGCGCGTCGAGTTGTCTCTTATTTTTGAGATTTGAAAAAAGTTACGATCATAAGTTTGCTCAAAATCTGCTATGATATGTCCAAATCAACTATCATTATGAGGTGGGAAGAAATTAGAGGGTCTCAAGCGCCCAAGTCTGAAAATCGGTATATAGGCGAGAGTTGTGTCGTGTCAGCAGATTTTTTTTTTCACTTCCACCCCTAGCAATGCCATACCGGATCAAACTGACCCGACCATCTCCTCTGATGGAGTTACATATGGCGGATGAGGGGGGTGGAAAAGTGTCAGTATATTACCAATAACAAGGTGACAATTTGTAAAAAAAGAAGAAAAAAAAAGAAAAGAAAAAAAAGAAAAAAAAAGCAGCTCTTACCTTCAAAAACGTAGAAACATAGATAATACATCAAAAACTACGAAACTCAATGGAGTGGCCCCAAGGACAAGGCGCATTAGTGCAGTTTTTGCTATTTCGAGAATTTTTTCGAGAAATACGCGTGTGTGAAGTTTCTTTGCATGGATCCTTATGGCGGAAAGAAAGATCAAACTCCTTTTTTAATGCATATCTAAATATTGACATGAAAAATTGCATTGGGAGTGAATTGTTTACGGAATATGCATTAAGACTAGTTTTACTTGAAATCATTAATATCACAATTTTTTCAAAAACTGCTTCTATGCGCCTCGTCCGCCAAGCCTCTTGATGTATTTAAATTCGGGTCAATTTAGACCTAATTTGTGCCTTGGCGCATGAAAAAGCCTTGGGCATCCAAAGGTCAAAAGATTCACATAAAAAACTTGTAATATCCTTAACAATGCTCATTACGAACAGAGATTTTCACGTATTCCTCTTGTACTTACAAGAGGAATACGTTATAGACAGCGCTTGGTATCAAAAAATTATAAAAAACCCTTTTTCAAAAGAAGGAAGATTCTGACTTCAAATCGAGTATTTTTTTATCGAAAGCCGTACGTCGAATTGTGACGCTCACCAAAAAAGTCAGCGATTTTCGAGTAAGACGGATAATCGGGCGCGATCCTTTGAACTCTGCACTTGAAAAATAAATGTGTGAATTTAACTCACCAGAATGAGAGAAGAGAGCCTAAGCCTTAACATCTAGACGGCAAGTCTAGCAAAATCGGAGATCGACTGTTTCAGAGAGAGAGAGAGGCGATTGGATTTTTGCATTTTATCCTCAATTTACCCATGCCCCGCCGCGCCGCCTGCTGTCGTTCGCGCATCATGCGTAAAAACAGACATATGGGCACAGACGATTTTTGGAAACATTAAGGTATCTAGATGAGGGAGTGAAAAAAACACTAACCTATCAATCATGACGTCGACATCTAATTGCATTTACTGTACCTACTTGCGCGTGTTCCATTCTGACATCATCTAATAAAAAACTCGATTTTTGGTGTTCTTCTTCTTAGACGTTAACTTAAAACTCGAATGCAGAATGAACAGCTAAGTCTTGCGTCATCGGAGATTTATTTTTTCGTCGTCACTCGTCATCGAGGTTCTCGCAAGTTGAGAACCGGGGAGTTCGCATTAAAGTACAGTCGCGCAACGAAGCTATTTTTTTCTTGCGTGCTAAATTTCGAAGGGAGAATAGTTGGAGGGAAGGGGGGAAGGAAAAAATACGATTTTTTATAATCAAGCTATGAGAACAATCCAACTCAATAAAATCAAGCTGCCGACGTCGATCCACGACTTATGGTGGTTATGGACCAGACTAGAGTACTGGACGTCGAGCCACACGACAAAACTCCTTCAATCTGCGATGCTACCACTAGTATTACAGCAATCCGTAAGTGCTGCACTCTAACGAAGAAAACCTGCACTACGATCAGAACGCAGACTGCCGCTGCTGCGAGTGCTGCGGTGCATGTGGTGTGTCAGACAGTTTTCAATGTCAATGACTCACGCATCAACATAAACAAGTCACAACATGTTCGTCTTTCTTCGGCGGATTTTGTCGTTTTCTTTCCAATCATTTTTCCGATGGAAGTGATTACCCATCCCTAATTCAGTGTCTAGTTCTAGTTTAGATCGGTGTCTTGCAATAATTCCATAATGTTTTATTTTTCAACTATTTTCACATGATTTTCTGTATTCAAGCAGAGAGCATGGTTCTCCTCTACTTGCCGGCTTTTTATTCCTTTAGTTGCTTACGAAGTCAAATTCGAGAGATTTTACTTCCAAATTGTGCAAAGTGAAGTGTATAGTGTGAAGTGATGCTTGCCGAAATCAATTAACCAGTTTATTTTACTGTCTCTGAAGCAATGATGTTTCTCATCCCATGCCTCTTCCTTGCTGCGGCACTCAACTCAGGTAATGCTGGCTTGTCCTGTTGAAGTAAATTATGTTTCTCTGGTATGCCGTATTCTTTCAGGATAATATCCCTTATACATTAATTAGAAATCATTTCAAAAAATATTCCCCAGTTGAAAATTGGTCGAAACATTGGCAATACGTTGCCAGCTGGCTGAACATTGAGACATTGTCAACACAATGAAACAAGGCGAAGATCTTCCCACACCCCTAGCAGTACGTACCTGATACATTTTGATTTGTCTTGTTGGACTGACATCGTTTTCAGCCATTAGCTGCCTGGGTGTCACTCTATTGAATCGTCATGTTTCAAGATGAAGTCAAAGCTGTGGGGAGTTCTATCATGTTGAATTTTGAAATCAGAGAACCCCGAGGAAACACCAGAGAAAATGCCTTGATAATCCCCCCTCCCCCCCAAAAAAAAATTAAGAATGTAGGTATCTGCTGCTCATATGCACGGTTAATTTTGTTTAGATCAGACGCATTGAGTGACCATCATCAGTGACTTAGACGTGTGTGTGATGTCACTGACGATTATTGCTCAAGGTGTCCAAAACACGTCCGATCTGAAGGAAATAAACTGTGCTAGTGAGTAATCGCTGATTTTTTGTGACTTTTTCTTGTGCGACTTTCTTCCTGGCCTAATTTTTCCATCTTACTTGTACTCACCAAACCCTGAAAGAAGCAAGGGTTTCCAGCAATGCTCTGAAGTACTCTCTTTCTTGTTTGCCTGTTTTTTCAGTATAAATTATGAACCTTATTTGGTCAGAAAAGCTTGCCAAGCACTACACATTTTGAAACACAACTGAATTCAGTGCTTTATTTATTTTTTTTTTTTTCAGAGCTCATCAAATGTGACGAAGATGCATTTTATTTCACTCATAATCCAAACAACACCGTTGTGATTGAAAGGCAGACTGCATTGCTGTCCTGCAAGACCTCAGATGCAAGTGCTGTATATTACTGGACCCATAATGAGCAACCTATCAAAAATTCAACTAGAAAATTTCAAAGAGGCTCGAATCTTTACATCCGCCAAGCAAACAGGGATGTGGATCCTGGAGTTTATGAATGCATAGCGACCTTGCCATCTGGTTTTTCCATAAGAAGTAGCCCTGCCAATCTTCAGGTGCACTGTGAGTACCTAATTTTATTTCTAGTTTCTCATACTGTCTTTTCCAAGAGAGTGTACTTTTTACGTTTTTCATAACCGCTAGAAAAATTGTGTATTTTTCGCCGCATTGAGATGGAATATGTGATTTCTTACGGTTTCACATAACCGCTAGAAAATTTGCGTATTTACCATAGAACTGAGATAAAAATCACGTGATTTTTCTTTTGTTTTCACAAACCTGCTGGCTAGGTGGCATACTTTTTTATTGCTCATAGAAATTCGAATAAAAGTGTTTTATGACGAACATAGGTCAAAGAAGAAATCTAGCGTATATCTACGTAAATTCCAGAGTAATCGTGCGGTTGCGTGTGAAAATGAAGGAAAATTTTAGCTTTTCGCCTGCCAAATTCTTACCATCCTTACAATTTTCAAATCCCACATATTTGATCGCGAGTCATCTGTCTCAAATTACTGACATTTATGATCGCCAGGGTATTGATGTGAAAAATGCACAATTATTACTCATGTCTTTACAAAACGGCTGGAAAAATCACGAATATGCCGTTATCTTAAAGTGAGAAGCGCATGTATTTTCCTGTTTTTATACATAGGTAATCACTGAAAAATCGCGTATTTCCTGCAATATTGAGATAACTAATATGTGATATCTCACTTCCTCACTAATCCGCTGGACCAATCGCATATGTGCCGTGACACTGACAGATGAAAAACTAGTATAATTTCTTATGTTTCTACAAAACTGCTGAATCGCGTATTTTTTTCATGTTCACGGAAATTTGCAGAAAAATGTCTTATAGATCCAGGCTGGCGAAACCGGACACTAAGTGCGCTACTGTTCGAACTCCCGAGTAGGTATGTGGTATCATGCGAAAATGAAGGCAAATCTCAGCTTTTCGCCTGCCAAATTCTTACCACCCTTACAATTTTCAAATACCACAGATTTTATCGCAAGCAAAATCCTTGATCGATTAAGTCAACAGCATAATTCCATGTAGGTATCCTCCTATAAATTTATGCCGTTCTTTGAGGAAAAGTTTGGCAACGCTAGATCGTCCATACGGCGTTTCTTCCCAACACGGCAGATTGCGCATTCGACCCCGCGTGCGCGGGCCATTTTTGCGTTTTCAAAGGGGTGGCCGGGGGGNTTTTAAGGGATTCGGGGCGGCATGCGCGGGGTGGTCAAAGCCAAAGGGCGGCGCGCTATAAGCATGAATTATCGGCACACGCACTGCCAAGGGGGTTGTAGTAGTTAACGGGGCTACAGGGGTGGGAGCGGTGCGGGACGGCGTGGAAGAGGGAGGGAGCGCAAAACCAGATATCATATGATTTGATTAGGGTCGATTCGCCCCGCGATTAGCCTCGGAGAGTCCCGTCATCATCGCGGCAGCGCAGCGTTGTCCGCTTGCATGGAAACACAAACAGGGACAGCCCTCATCGCGTGCTTAACGAGAGCTTTTATCTACGCCATGTCGCGTCGGGACTTCGAATTTTCATGTCTTGAGCTCGACTTGAATGCATCGATCACTCCCACTGAAATGTGGCGGTTTTTGCGTGTGCCAAAGCAGGCTTGCCAGCGGCCCGGAAAACTGGGCAAATCAGGGAAAGTCAGGGAATTCGCGATGACCGGGAAAAGTCTGGGAATTCGTGATGACCGAGAAAAGTCAGGGAATTCGTGATAACCGAGAAAAGTCGGGGAATTCGCGATGACCGGGAAAAGTCAGGAAATTCGCGATGACGGCGAGAAGTCAGGGAATTCGCGATGACCGGGAAAAATCAGGGAATTCGCGATGACCGGGAAAAGTCAAGGAATTCGCGATGACCGGGAAAAGTCAGAGAATTGAGAGGAAAGCCGGGGAGTTTCCGACACGTCCACCTATCAAAGTATAGCGAAAATCAGCGATTTTTGTTTAATTTTTTTTTATTTTTTTTTTAAAGTAAGTAAGATAGAAATTTTCGTCCAAGATAAAGAAAGATTTCGGAATTAAGGAAAAGAAAAATGAGTCAGGGAAAGTCAGGGAATTCGAAGATGAAGAAATTATGGCAACCCTGGAAAGGCGTTAAATAGGGGTCTGTTCATAAGATACGAAACGCGCTGACCAAGGAACTACGCCGCCCAACCAAAAATGTTTGCGCACATGACTTTGCCCTCAAAATGTATCATCCCACTTTATCATTCATTCCGCATCATTTCATGTTCGGACGCACGGGTCAGTCCTGAAATCACGGTGTTAATCGCGAGAAAATTTGCAGCGCTGTATCCGGAAGAAAGAAGGAAGGGGAAGTTGGAACTCGTCCTTCAACCCCGTCCCGTCGTCGTTCACCCTCACGAGTGTTGATTGTTTTTGTTTTTACCCGTTCAATCCCTCGTTAGTGACTTTTTAGCCTGATCTCACCCCCCCTTCCCAAGCCTCAAGCTTTAAGCTAACAAGTTTTTCCTCGCCAACTCTTTTCCGCAGCTCCTGTTGCACTCGTATTTCGCTCGCTCGTCGACTCGGATTCGCCGTTTCTGTCAGTCACGTGATTTTATTGGCCTCCCATTGGTTGAGAAACGACACCCTCATCCTCGCCTGCCAATCAGAAACTTGTGCCTTGTCGCGTGAATTCCAGAAAGCATGGAATTGAAAGTGGTGGATCAGACAAGTGGACTCATTTTGCAGTTAGGAAGTACATTTTCTAGCCCATCCGTATAATCACTAAGTCGTCTCTAATCTGGGCCAGATTTTGTAGTTCCATTTTGGAAAATGCAGTTCAAATGGATCAGCATACTGCCGTGATAAGGGAGAACGCTGGTCGAACATCCGAGAGTTGCCAAATTTCACCGAATAAACTGTCCATCATTGAGGAAAGTTATGCATATTTTACTTGAAATCTCCAGCTATTTTCGATTGAATTGCGAAAAATCGTCAAAAGGCTCACACGGCGTTCTATTTTAGCACGGCAGCACAGAAGAAAGTTTCGCGATTTAATCGGTGGGTTTAAATTTTGGTTGATTTTCGAGTTTTCATAATCCCCATCTCTTTTTGTTACTGTCCTGGGAAAGAGACCTTTACAATTGGAAGGAACATGGCCTCATGAGCTATTGCCAGATTCAACCGGGCAATTTAATTCTTTACGAGAGAACTTTGTAAGGATTTCGTTGGAAATTTTAAGGAATTGGCTCCGTGCTATGCAGGAAATTCACTGAAATTCGCACACAAATCCGGACAACCGTTTTCATGTAAAAAATTAAATTTGGCAATAGCTGATGTAGCTTGGTTCCTTTCTCCTTAACGCGGTCCAGTTAGTGCCGCAAAACTCAAAAGTTGAAATATTGATAAGCATTGAGCGTTTAAGAGAATTTTTGCGGGAGGAGAAACTCCCCCAAAAATGTCAAACCCAAGCGTTGCTTAAGATTTCCAACGGTCTGGAAAACCTGAAGAGCAGGGCCGGATTTACCTACTTGCCGCCCATGGGCCGCCTGTATTTTGCCGCCCCCTCCTCATTCGTTTTGAAACATCAATAAAACCATCAAGTGAACGTGCCGCAGGGAGAGGGGTGCATAAAACGCGTTTACTCGTGTTAGACACATTTTTTGCGAAAGCCCTGTCAACACTACTTGCAAAAGTTCACGGAACTTTGCGCGGAAGTTAAGTCCCGTAAACCTATCTCTTTGTGGACAAGGCCTTCCATTTATAAACATTGAACTAAAAAATTAAGAAAGAACAGACATAAATGTGGTTTAATAATTTTAACTGCCGCCGCCACTCTGCGCTGATCGCACTGTATTTTGCGCAATGCGGGAAGTATTCCTACAGTCTTGTAGGCGCTATGCGTTTCACGCCGACCGCTGCAGCTGACCGCACTGTGTCTGACGCAATGCGTGAAGTATTCATGCAATCTTGTAGTCGCTTATATGTGTTACATGCCGACCGCCGCGCCGCGCCGAGGGCTTCTTTTCATCTCAAGTCCTCGTCATCATTATTCCTCTCTGCGCTGAGCTCCAGGCCAATTTGCGTATTTAGTCCCTCTCTCAACTCGACTAATTAAAGATGCCGTCTCTTGTATCACCGAAAAACAACAAAATTAGAAATTGCTATAGGTACTCTCAGGAAAGAGAGATTTTGTCCCCTTTTCTCATTGATAATTTTTTCTCTGAATCCGATTTTTTTTATACCTACATTTAAAAATAAATGCAAAGTTTGCCGCCCCCTAAATTTGCCGCCAGTGGCCGCTGCCCATGTGGCCACCCCCTTAATCCGGCCCTGAAGAGTCAGTGAAGAGTCAGAATTTATGAAGCCCCGGTAAAGGTAGGCAACGCCGGAGAATCTATAGTAGAAAATCCATTCGAAAATGGAACAAAACACGAAGACCCTGATTCCTGTTCCATTACCATTTTCGAATGAAAGAATGTTTCGACGAGTCAGACTTCTGGATTATCACAGAGCGATCGAGCTGGATCGCTTCTTGCGTTCTGGATGACGGCGCGCTCGAAAATCAGCGAAGCGTTTCCATCGCCTGGTTCCTGATGACACCCCCGACCGGCGGGGGAAGTTGTGGGGGTTGGCTCCTCAGGAGAAGGGGGGGAGGGGGTGCGGAAGTGGATGGTTGAAAGGAGGCAGACGCGAGTGAAAGAGCCAGATGCCGCGTATCTTTCTTTGTCGGTCTCGTAAGGCACGATTTGCACGTGGCTCCATGCGCTTGGTTGCCGCTTCGACGACTGCCCGTCGGCCACTACGCAGCCCAACCCCTAACATCGCGGCAACAGTCAACAATCAGAATTCGGAAATCTGCGGATCCACCCCGGAAAACTACGTGAATATGACATTCGTATCTCTGAGAGCCACCGGTGTCTACCGGTCCCCAAAAGTCCCCAATGTCCCCGATTATCCTCGACTTTGGAAGGGTGTCCCCGATATCCCCGAAAGTCCCCAATTTTCTTGTCCAGGTCCCCAACAAGTGACAAAAATTGTTCTAAACATCCCCAAAAGTCCCCAATGTCCCCGATTATCCTCGATTTTAGAA